ATGGCTAGCTTCGTGCTTCCAGCGCTCGCCAGTTCAGCCCTTGGCACGGCCGCACCAGCTGCAGGCACTGGCAGCCGCAGATGCCTGTGCCGAAGGCGACTTGGTAGGTATAGGTGGCCGGGCAATCACTTCATCACAAGTGGTTTGGTTTGCCGAAACCTGGAACATGCAGGACATACGGGCAGTATGGCCTTGCCTTGTCAAGCCTGGACAGCGCTACATCGCATGTTTCGAAACGCTGGCGCAGTTGGCACTGCTGCAGGCCACCCATAGCCACATTGGTGGTGGGCACTACTCATTCAGCATGCCTTCAGGCACTGATAACTCGGCAACAGAAGCAAGCCTTAACAAGTTGTTCACGACTTCTTGGCCGCTGCAACTCTTCGTGCAGCTCACAGCCTTCTGGGCGCATGCACACAATGTGTTGCTGCAGCCCACACATGTTCCAGGCAGGAACAATGATTGGGCAGACGACCTAAGCAGAGGTCGGCTAGCCCGATTCAGCCATCGCCCAGAGAGTCGCGTACGCTTCAGCCCTGCAGGCCTTGCGCTGTCAGGCAGAGGCATCCAGCTGTGTCCGATTGATGCGCCCTGGCGCCCGGAACGCCTAGCAGCTGCTGCCAGCTGCGTGTAAATAAGCCTTGCTGCCTTCCAACAGGCGTCGCGACCCGACATCGCCCTGGCAACCAGAATATCTGGCTGCGTCTGTCAGCAGCTTCACAGCAAGCCGCTTTGGCGAAAATGAGCAGTCCCAGAACGGCAAATGCTCATAAGCATGTAAATGCAATGTCGTGCGACATTTGCCCTGCCAGGTACAACCCCACTTTGAAGGGGGGGTGATGAGGCCGGCGGCCCAGCTGGCTCGCTTATACCGGGGTTGCCTGAAACACTGAAGGGGGGGTCAACGCACCTCCTGCTCCAGGCGCATCCGTGCCCTGGAAGCAGTGCTGCTTTCAGCAATCCCGGTTAAAAGAACTGCGGCCGCTTCGGACTTGCTTTGTTCTTTTGGGTGGTCTGGTTTGGGTTCAAGATAGGAGCAGTGCAACATGCCTTAACGCTCAGGGATTTCTTTTCCCTTGTGTTTAGGGCATGTTGTGAATCTACTTCCGCGGTGGTGTTTCGTTTGAAACCCACCCACCCACCCTGCATTCAAAGGAAGTTGCAGATGCTCTGCATTTCCATCCATGGTCTCCGGACCTCCGGGTCTCCGGACCGCCCGGACCACCCGGTCTCCGGACCGGCGTGGGCACGCTTGCCACGCCTTGCGCGCACTGCACGCACCTGCAAGGACACGCATTGTCTTGCCTTTAAGTTTCACGGGGGGTCAACGCACCTCCTGCTCCAGGCGCATCCGTGCCCTGGAAGCAGTGCTACTTTCAGCAATCCCGGTTAAAAGAACTGCGGCCGCTTCGGACTTGCTTTGTTCTTTTGGGTGGTCTGGTTTGGGTTCAAGATAGGAGCAGTGCAACATGCCTTAACCTTTAGAAATTTGCGTGGAAACGTTTGGACATTTACTTGGAAACTCACCGACCCCTTGACCAACGATCCACAGCCTCGGGGGGACCGACCCCGTGATCAACGGATTTGCTGTTTTCTCTCCCGGCCTCGTTGGCTTTTGGTTTTTTCTGTTCGCCATGTCGGGCCTTGACTCTCCCGTTGCCCTGTCCGTGCCCTCTTCGCCCAACCTCCCTTCGGTCACCTGGTTGGAAGCCGGGCCCCCGCCCCCGGCTCTCAGCCTCTCCCGTGCGAATAGCTGGCTGTACGTCCCCCTGCTTCTGGCTGGCGACCGGGCGCTGTCCCTAGTGCAAGGCGCGGAGGGATACTGCCTCTGCTCAAGAAGCCTTACTCTTGGTTTTCCTAGGCGACCGCGAGGCTGCACGCCTCGCTCAGTGTGCTGCCAATGTGCGGGCTCCACCGCCGGCGCCTGCCAGAGCGCCTGCCCCTGTGCCCGCCCCTGTGCCCGCCCCTGTGCCCGCCCCTGTGCCCGTGCCCGCCCCGGCGACCGCCCCTGTGCAGTCTGCCCCGGTTGGCGTGCGCGACGCGCTTGCGGAAGGCCAAGCTGGTTTGGAGCCCAACGAGTTGCTGTTGGCCTACCTCGATGATGTTTACATCGTCGCTCGGCCCGAGCGCGTCCGCTTCCTTTTTGATCGCCTGTCTGAGACTTTGTGGCGCAGTGCGTGCATCCGCCTGAGCCATGGCAAGACGCGGGTCTGGAACACTTCTGGCCGGGAGCACCCTGGAATCTCCGCACGTGCTGTTAGGGAGGATCCTGTGTTTGTCGGATCGCCTGCCTTGGCCCCCGCCCAGCAGGGTCTCCGCGTGCTCGGCGTGCCCCCAGGTTGTCGCAGCTCAGCTCGACGCCCTCGCTGCGAGCCAGCGCGCGCTCCTCCCTTGGAGGGCGTGCAGGCTTCTTGGCTGCTTTTGCTGTTCTGCTGCAGTCCTCGGTGCAACCATGTCCTGCGCTTGCTCCCGGCTGAGTCCACGGCAGGGTTCGCGGCTGCTCATGACCTCGCTGTTGCGGACTGCTTGTCCACCCTTGCCCCCGCAGGCGTTGGGCGTTGCAAGGTTGCCTCTTCGGCTTGGTGGTCTCGGTCTACGTTCGGCGGCCGCCGTCGCCCGTGCTGTGTATTGGGCGTCCTGGGCCGGTAGCTTGCCTTTTCTGGAAAGGCAAACGCCTTCGCTTTTTCGTGCAGCCCTGCCCCACTTGAGCCTGCCTGAGGCCCATGCCCCCTCGCGAGCTGCAGCCGCGGCGGTCCTCGTGCTGGCGGACCCCAGCTGGGAGCCCCCTACTTGGCAGGATGTGTTGGCTGGCGCTTTGCCGGCCGCGCGCTCCGATGATGCTGACAGCTTGTTTCTCAGCGGTGACCGTGGGTGGCAGCGGCATGCCCTGCGGCCCTGGAGGACCGTCTCTTCCAGGACCTGTCCCTCCACCTTGATCTCTCTGCGCTGGCGCTGTTGGAGTCGCAGCAGGGGCTGTTCTCGGGCGGGTGTGTTGCAGAGTCGCGGGTGCGCTCTCGAACGGGCGGCCGCCCGGGTGTGCCGTGAGGCTGGGGCCCGGGTGACCACCAACACCCGCTTGGCCGATCTCAACCACGTGGTTGACCACGTCGATGACCGCCGCCTCGAGGGGCAGAGCCAGCCAAGACAAACTTGAGCCAAAAAACTAAAAGGGCTACGGACAAAGGCTGCAGTTCCAGGCCCCAAAGTGCAGCCAGTGCCCGCTATGCCGGCCGCTGCTTTGGTTTGCTCGTGCACCCCCAAACCCCCAGGAGTCCCTCCAAAACAGCTGGTTCTAGATACCTCTTTTTCTTCGCGGCCGGTTTACTCCGCAGCGAACCTGCGTCCCAGTAGGAAAGCACAACTTGACGGTCACCTCTCCCTTCAACCGATTCTGCCTACTTACCGTTAGCGGTGCACCGATGCACCCAAAGCAGCGGCTGCATTCCCGCCACTGCGTTTCCTCGGCGAAGGACGGTCTGCTGGCCTTGCCACTACGGCTGCCCAGTTTCGTTCCCAACCAGCCCCGCATGCGCCCCAGCGCGTTGCCGTTGTGCTTGTGGCTGCTGCTGCCGCTGTCGCCGCAGCAGCAGCAACAACTAGCAGCACCAGCAGCAGCTGTGTTAGCAGCAGCACTTGCCTCAGCCGAGGCCGGTCCCACAGCCGAGATGTACCTGGACATGAAGCGGGTGGCCCAGAACGCTGAGGAAGCGATCGACTGGAACGAGCTGAGCGATGCGAGAAAGGTGAAGAGCTTGAGGCTCTTCGGAGTGCTGGCTTCGTATTTACGGGGCCGGGCGCTCAAGCTCATCAAGCGCACGCCGGAAGAGAGCAGCTACGAAGCACGGAGGCTGCTGCTGAGAGACATGCAGCCGAGCACAAGGCAGAGGGCATTGGCTTTGATGACCCAACTGTCGAGGATCACCTTCGCCCCGAACAAGTCCATCATGGAGCAGCTCCCGGCCTACGAAGCCCTGGTCAGGGAGTACGAGAGGGTCTCATCTCAGGTGTACCCCGAGGACTTGAAGGTTGCATCAATCCTTTCCGCCTGCCCTGTTGGTGTGAGGACGCAACTGCAGCTGATGGTGAGCGAGGAGACGACGTTTGAGTCGCTGAAGGGAAGGATCGAACAATTCGAGGCGATCACTACGAAGTGGAGCACAGAAAATGTGCTTGGCTTGCCCAGTCAGACAAGCATGGAGGGTCCGACCCCAATGGATGTGGACTACATCGGCGGCTACTCCAACCAGAAGGGCAAGAATGGCAAAGGAAAGGACGGAAAGGGCAAGTACGGCAAGGGTAAGTCCAAGAAGGGACAAGGCTACAACGACTTCAGGGTCAAGGGCAAGTCCAAAGATGAGAAGGGCAAAAGCAAAGGTAAGAGCAAGGCGCAGGACAAGGGCAAGGGCAAGTCCAAGGAGCAGTGCACAGATCAAGTAGATTGCTGGGCCCCGCGGAACATCAACCAGGTCGAAGGAGATTGGACGTATGCCCCGGCTACACCATCTTCATCGGGAACTACCGGAGGTGGAACGGCTTCAGGAGGAGCGCAAAGCTCAGCGAGCTCTGCGTCGGGTTCGGCGAGCATCATAATGATCCGGCTGGTCACTCCCCCGGACATGAACGAGACGAGGATGTTCGACCTCACTGCTGGAGAAGATGAGTTCCTGGGGATGATCCAGGGGGTTGAGGACGAGAGCTACGCTGTGCTGATGGTGGAGCGCGAGGACGACGAGTCGTTCTTTGATGCCCACGAGCCTGTGGTGGAAGAGATCGAAAAAGCCACGGTGGTGGCTATGGACTTGCAGGACCTACCAGGTGAACATGGTGATGGACGAAGAGATGGATCATGGATGGTCCAAGGTGCTCATGACGGTCGATTCAGGCGCCGACATTTCAGTGTTGCCTGAGGAGTTTGCTGGAGTTGGAGCAGAAGCCCATGAAGGAGGAAGACAGATTATCATGAAAGACGCGCAGGGCAACATTAGAGCAGAATGAGAAAGGTGAACTTCGCCATGATGGGCAAGGACGGCATCCTGGTGAATTTCGTAGAGAAGTTCATCGTGGGAAAGGTGAAACATCCCATCTTGTGTGCTGGGCGTCTACTATGCAATGGATGGGAGATGAGGAGAAGCGGAGATGGCCTGAATCTCTGGCACAAGCAAGGAGTTGAGATTCCGCTGGAGATGAAGAAGAATAGCCTGCAGGTCGTGGCGGAGATATGCTCGGTGGAGACTGAGAACAACGAGCACGAGGAAGAGTGAAACACGGTGGAGGTCTGTGTGAGCTGGAGAAAACCCCTGAATGGCATGTTTTGCCAAATGGCCTGGCGGCATATAGCGACCCAGTGGCCACGCAACTGCTGGATCCGTCAGGTACGTTTGATTGGAAGGCAAGGATGACCTTCATGAAGACCAAGGACGGTAAATGGATGCAGGTGGGGAACGTGAGCGACTACACGCAGCTCGGTTTGGACCTGCGGAAGATCCTCAGAGGACCATCACCGTTGTGGCGCCTGCGAAGATGAAGGACTACTTCGAGGTGGACTCAGAAGTCCCGGTGGCGCCATTCCCCACGACGCACAGAGAGCTGCAATCAGATGAGTTGGGTTGGTCAGATGAGGAAGTTGGAGTTGGAGATGAGAAGATGATGAGAGAACCACCAGCCGAAGGTCATGAAGAGATTCAGGTCGATCGTGGGGAAGATGCTCTACATTGGAGGTGAGCGGCCTGACTGTCAGTTTGCCATGAATGCTCTTGCTGCGTGGATGTCAAAGCCTACGAAGACGGCATGAAGGCATGCAGAGCACTTGGCAAGCTACTTGGTCGGCACGGAGTTCTATGGACTGCTCATCAAGAGCAGCAGGTGTGGGAAGTCCATGTTGGACATGAGAGAGATGCAGGAGATCGAGGTGAAGAAAGTTCACCTCATGGAGGTTGTCACTGACAGCGACTATGCGGGGGACCAGAACTCGAGAAAGAGCATCACGAGTTTCCAGGTGTTCCTCGACGGCAACCTCATGGAAAGCAGAGTGAGAAGCCAGAAAAGCATCTCACTTTCAAGCGGTGAGAGCGAGTACGTGGCCATGGTCTCTGGATGCAGTGAAGGACTTTTTCTTCGGCATGTTTGGTCCTTCATCAGAGGCCACACACCAACCCTGGTGTGCAGGTCAGACAGCAGCGCGGCCCGCGGAATGTGCAGCCGAGTTGGGATTGGCAGAACCCGACACCTGGATGCAGTCATGATGTGGCTGCAGCAGAAATGCCACGAGAAGGTGATCAGGGTGACAGCGATTCCGACGAGTATCAACAGCGCGGACATTGGCACCAAGGCGCTGGCACGAGCCAGGATAAGAGGATTGATGTTCATGACGGGCATGGTCGACAACGACAACCGCGAGCTCGGGAAGGACGAGCTCCGCGACATCGAGCGCAAGATGCTGAGCGACAAGGGCGCTAAGAAGATTCTCAGCGGCTTGAAGGATGAGTACCGCATGGCATTGGTGGTGGCATTCGCCAACGCGATCAGGGCGAGTGGAACCAAGGAGGAGAACGAGCCCAACGGAGCGGAGAGCGACAGCTGGATGTGGCCGGTGCTAGCCATTTTGGCCGGCGTAGGAGCCTTGAGCCTGGCGCAGTGGCTGTGGAGTTTCTTCATCAAGAAGATTCAGAAGGAGATCATCATCTCCGGCAAGGCAACGATTCAGGAGGCCAACGACAGCGAGCCGGAGGTGAGTGCACGTAGCGATCTGAGGAAGAGGATCAATCCGGTCCGGATGTTGCCAACAGGCAACGTGTATCACACGCACGAGAAATGTCCCCACTACAAAAGTGGGAGACAGGTGCACAAGTGTCTCAAGTGCAGCGGATATGAAGGCAGCATGTGAGGATTGTTCTTGTGTTCAGTCATATCCGCATGCAAAGCATGATGAAAGCATGATGTACATGCACCGCAATCGGAGGCTCTAATTGCCACAGGAAAAGAGCTGCCATTCGCTCGACAAGTTTGTTACCTCTTTTGTCCGCGGTCCGTGCGTCAGGTCGGATCCCCTGGTTCTTGCTGCGAGCGTAGTGGCAACATGGTTTAGTCCCATTCAGAACTGGAGGCTGCGTCGCAAGTTTCCCTGGCGGAAACCAATCAGATGGCTGTTGTTTGCCCAGTGTTCAGAAACCCCTCTCTAAAACGCAAAGTCAAATACAACATGTCATGATTGGCGCAATTTGTTCTACACAAATTACTCAGGCTTTCACCGTGCATTTTTTGACCAATTGCAATCAAAATGGGCTCGCTGCTTGTCCCCATCGTCATCCAGCCTGAATGAGATCATGGTGAAGATGAGATTTGCAGACAGGCAACAAGGCCTGGGCAGCAGTGGCTAACAATTGCAGTGACACCTTGTTTTGCGCTTTAAATTGCCACAATTCCTCGTAGCCATGGGGCCCTCAATGCGGGGGCCATCCTCCCTGGATGATTTGGTCACATGTGTGCATTACCGGATGCTTTTGTGCATGGATGAGGGAGCATTGTGCACCGTGGGGTGTTGTTGCCGCTCACTGCAGAGCCTGGCGACAGAGCAAGCGCTGTGGCAGCGGTTGGCCATGTCTCGGGATCGGCTGGCGGCCTCGCGGTTTCTGGGCAGTTTCAGTCCGGAGGCCCGGTCCCAGGTCACTGGGGAGGACCCGAGCCCCAGCTTGCCTTGCGCGCGCTTCGCTCCGGGCAAGCCCCGGGAAGCTACGGGCACGGTGGACTGGCGGCAAATTTGCCGGCAGCTGCACCCAGGGATGGCAGAGCGACCTTGGGAGGAAGACAGCAGCGAGGAATGCTTCAACTCAGCCGCCTTGTGGACAGAGTTGACAGACGACAGCGGGGCATACCAAGCCCCAGGCCCCGAGCATCAGATTCCAAACGCCGCGGTGCTGGCCTCCCAATCGCCTCATTTGTTTTGGATTGGAGGGGACAGGCTACTGGGCATCGCTGGCGGGTATTCTCCGGACGTGGTTGGGGGAGCAGCACTGCACCCGCTCCGGGAGCTGTACGTGCTTGATTTGCCAAACATCTCCGTGCACGGTGACGGCATTACTCACCCAGACCTGAGTGTGCGAAAGCTAGACTGTGGGATTGCTGGTGGCATGTTGCCTCATGGCCACCCTTCCATGAATGGAGCAGCCTGCGACTTCGACCCTGTGCGCAGAACAGTTTACTTCTTTGGGGGTGGGGCCCCCCATTCAGATGTCAACAATGCCACGTCAGCGCTGCGGCTGGAGCACTGGGATGGCGACCAGCCCGTGGCTGAATGGCAGGTGGTGTCCTCCCCTGGCTCCGTGGAGTCGGGGCAAATCCCCAGCCCGCGGCAGGGGCTCAAAGGGACGGTCTTTCGCGACGAGTTCGTCGTCTTTGGAGGGAGGTTGCCGGGCGGCAGATGTACCAACGAAGTATGGTCGCTCGACCTTGCCGAGGATCAAGGCCCGCGGGGTTGCCTGTAGCGGGCGGAACCGCAGCAAATGTGCTCTCCCACCAAGGAACGTAGATGTTGGAAGGGGGGTTCTGTAAGACAATTTTTCTTTTGAAGGGACCCTTTGTCAGCTTCCGCGTTAATTGGTGGGAGGGCAATGATCGAAATGCCTCGATTTTGGCAGGTGGTTGTGGCTCTACTGCCACATCGTTGCCTTGGAGGCGCCCAGCGCAATTTTGCATGTGCCGCCTTTGCATTTACAGGCGAATCATCATTTCAGGGTTTCTTAGGTGGTGCGAAGTGGATTTCGTCCATCCACAGTATGACCTGCGCCCAGCACCTGTTGCAGGCGCTTGGAGTGCGATGGGCAAGCGCCTTCCGCCCGAGTGTGGCACTGCGCCTGTCAAGCAGTCCACGGACAATGGCGACTCAGCGAAGCTGGTGGTTCAATATTTTAGGGGGTCCCCCCCGAAAAAAAATCGCCAGTTTTCATTCGTTTTGGTGCTGCCAATTGTTTAGGTTTGGCCTGGCTATGGGAGCCACTTGTTCTTGAGGATTTTTGTGCGTGTTTGGTCACTCGCCTCGAGGTTCATCTATGGTGGGAGCACCTGGCAGTTCGAGGCGTGAGGTTTGGCGTTCCTTCGATGAGTTGCGTTTTTGCGAGGAGCCTTCGGGACCCCACGACTTCCGAACGCTCTTCGCAGTGACCCCAGTGGCGATGTGAGACTTGGGCTCCCGGGGCTCCGTTTGGCCAAGCCGAGATCTTGGATCTGGCGGAGAGGCCCGGGCCTCGAAAGAAGCCGAGCCGAAAAAGAAGCGGGGCGCCGCTCCGCGTGGGTGGTTTTTGTTCCTGTAGCAGGCGGTGGTCGTGCGTGGAGTCCTCGGGCCCTGTGCGGCCTCCATGGTCGGTGGCGGGAAGCCTGGTTCCGCCATAGCCCCAGGGGCCCAAGAGATGCAGATGGGCTGAACACATCGTGACGCGTGACAGGCTGGGCTGCTGTCAGCTCTTGCTTCTGGGCGGAACTTTGCCCCACAAGTGCCAAGCTCAAGCTTGGCATCTCGGCATTGTTTGCACAGGCTCGGTGCGTTGTCTGAGGCTCGGTGCTGGTGGATTGAACGCCCACAGTCTTCGGCAGTGGCGCACATGGCGGCCATCTCAGTGCCGCAAGGCCTTCAGGTGGCTTGAAGGCCTTCAGGTGTCTTCCTGGGCTTTTCGTGTGCCCACGAAGGTATAACAGACTGGATGAGCCTTGGGTGCCTCCCTCACTGCTGACTGGTGTTGTGTCGGCTGGCGTCTGCCATGAGGTGTTCGACCTGGGTACTCAGCAGTGGTTGCCCAGGGAAGCCGCTGTCGCACTGCCCGGAGACGCCCGGCGCTCGGCCGAAATATTGAAAAGTCGCGCGGCCTTGGAGTCCTGCCGTAGGACTCCAAACCCTCCCCCCGTCTTTTCTTAGAGAACAAACAATCAAACGAAACAAGTAGCGACACATTTCAACGACGCACCGTGTTTTTCTAGGGATTCTGCGTGACGCGCCCTGAGTCGGACCAGCTCGAGGAGTACGTGGCTGAGGCGTGGCGCATGTTTGAAAAGGAGCTGCCTTGGCGCTTTGCCGAGGTGTATTTGCGGAGTCACCTGGCCGCGTGCTTCCTTCCCCAGCGCCGCGCCGCCCTCGGCGTGTCTTACGCGTGCGTGGCCCTCAGTCAGAGCGAGGCTCAGTGGTGGTGTTTGGCGGCTCGCGGTACTTCACAGGCGTCGGTTGCATCGCGGCAGTCGGCGACGTGTTTTTTCTTCTTCCCCTGCTCCTTTTTGCATTTTCTTCTTCAGCGTTTGTTTTTCGGCCAGGCGAGTACTTCAACGACATCCTGGAACTGCAGCTCCCGGGGCAGAGGTGGGCTGCTGGTTCCAGTTCTCTCCCGGCGGATGGGAGCGATGTCAGGACTGGCCGGGGAGTTCTCGGAGAGGGGCGCCGCCAGGAGAGACGTGAAGCCGAAAAACGCCCAAGGATTTCCATGGGTCGAAGCCATGCTGAAGCGAAGGCTCTGCGTGTGGTTTTCTCTGGTGTGTTTTTCAACATGGGGAAGCACCAGGGTGGGATTCTCCTTAAGGAAACTGCAGGGGTGCTTCAAAGATGGTCTTCCTTGTTTCGCTAAACCAACCTGAGCCACGTCCTCAAACCCGGGTAGATGAAGGTTGGTAATGGACAATCCCAACCATAAATAGCGGCGGCCGCCTTCTTAATTCCTTACATGGTTCTGGGTAGACCATGTTGGTACCGGGTTTTGATCGTGACTCGCCTGAGAAGGGTCAAACAAGTACACGAGAGACATGCACGCAGGTCCCCAGCCTGAGAGAAAATGCGTCGGGTCGAGGACTCGCGGCATCGCCTGCTGGGCCCCTTTCAGGCCATGTCAAATTCAGGTTCGTGGGTTTGTTCTTTGTTGGAACCCTCTTTTGGTTGGTTTTCAACGGAAACCAAACGGAACACCGACTTTTTTTTTGTTTTTTTTTTTTGGGGGGGGGTTAACCGTAAAAAGACGGACCCCCGCGTGGTAGAGAGCCGTTCCAGGCTCCGAACGGACTTCCCCACCACTTGCAAGTCGCTGATGGCCGGGAGGCGGTGCGGCGCACGAAGTCGCGGGGCGATTCCAGCATGTAAAAGAGCATTTGGGTCCTTGCGCAACTTAAACTTTCGTGTTAACGTTTGCCAGGTTAAACTTTGTGCTGACTACATGGGTTTCAATTTTGTTTTTAATCTTTTACATCCAAACAGCGACGTTTGTGTGGTTCAGGCGACGGTCACTCGAGGATTCCTAGGACGCCTGCGCGGCATGCTGCAGGAGGGCATCATCAATCAGGAGCAGCCAGAGTCAGAAAAAAGCGGCCGGGCCATGCCATGCCCAAGAAGGGGAGGTCGGAGCCCCCAAAGGCTTCCCTTTGCCTTTTGGTCACCTTGTCATATGTCGAGCTACAATGGGGTACCCTCAAAAACAGACACAGCCAGATGGCAAACCCAGCAGAGTTGCCGCAGGAGCAGTTCAACTCCATGCGTATGCTCGGGTGACGGTGGGATACAGCGCAGTCGGCCCACATTGATGCCAAAGAGAGCGAGACGCCCTGTTTCCAATTTGCCCGGGCGAGGTTCGGTTTGCCATAGGCTGTTTTGGCTATTGGCGTTGCGTTGTTTCTTTGAGCTGGGAATACTTTTGCTTGACAATAAATCCGGAAACCGTTGTCTCGCGCGGCTGCACGTGTTGAGAAGGCTTCGATTCGGCGGGGCGGGCGAATGCGGCGAGCAATGGCCAAGACGGCAGATGCCAACCGCCCCAGGCGCTGGGGACTTGCTGGGCTTGCCGTGCTTTGGCGCTGCCTGTTTCACAGACGTGGCCCAACGGGGGCGGAGGGGAGCTGAAGCGGGCGTGCCAAAAGCCTCCCGGCCAAGGGGTCAAAGTGGGGCCCCCCAAGACTTGGGCAAGAGCAGCGCCGAAAACCGAGCCCCCCAGGTTTGACACGTTCCGCTTTTGGAGTCAACGCTTTCCGCATTCAAGCTGCGCGCCGCATGGCTCAGCTCGTTTTGGCCCAGCCCCGCGTTTCTCCCCCGCGCACGCGCTCTTTCGCTCGACTTCCAGGCCGGAGTGGGGGCAGCTTGGGGTCCGCCGGGGGGTTCTCGACGTTGCCAAAAGTTTCGGTTCACTGGCACCGGACAGGCGAGACTCAAAAGATCACCTCAGCAACCAGAGGGCGGCCTAAGGAAAATGAGCCAACAAACAGGCTTTTCCGGGACCAACAACTCGGTGGGTCGTTTGAACACTTTCCGGGGTGAGCCAAAAAACTGGTTGGTTTGAAGGGTTCCGGTGTCTCCGGCATAGAGGATGGCGGACAAGAAGAAGCTGACCCAGGCCGAGCTGCTGGAGCTGCTCAGCCCGCCACCTTTCAACCAGAAGCCGGGCCCCCGGGCCCCGAGCTGCCGCGCGAGGTGGTAGGATCCAGGTTCAAGGGGATGAGCAGCGGGAAACCACCGAAACAGATTTGACATTTCTTCCACCGAACAGCGGTGTTTGTGGTCATGATATGTCATAACGTGAGGGGTTGGGCGTGAGGAAGTGCGTCCCGCCTGATGCCATCATCCAGACCTCTCCTGAAGAGCGCTGGTGGAGGTGCGAGGGCACCGCAGGTCACCGGGGTGGGCGCACGCGGTTGGCTCTATGCGTCCCACGCGGCATGCCGTCGGAAGGTCCGATTCCCCCCGACTCGCTGGCGATGAATATCCGGATGTCCCAGCTCCCAAGCAGCCAGGGCCTCAAGGTGACCTGGTGCAACTCTGGATTCCTTGGTCGATCAGACGCCCAACCATGTAATGCTGACCCCGGATTAATAAACCCCTGTATGTTAATATGGGGGTGTTCCCTCCAAAAGACGCAAATCCCCACTAAAACCAGGGACACCCCATATTATTAAACAGGGTGTCTATTAATCCGGGGTCAACATGAATCAAACTACGCAGCAACGAACAAGCCTTTCCAAAGGGTGTGCTGGATGTGCATGTAGTTCCCGTGGGTCTGCAGGTAGAAATGTAAATGCACACGCGCACACACACACAGACAAACACAAAATCACAGACACACGCACACACACACACATATATATATATATATATGCATAATTATATATATATATATATGTGTGTGTGTGTCTGTCAGTCTATCTGTCTATTTGTCTATCCGTTCATCCGTCCGTCCGTCCGTCCGTCCGTCCATCCATCCATCCATCCATCCATCCATCCATCCCACCCATCCCACCCACCCACCCTTCCATCCGTCCGTCCGTCCGTCCGTCCGTCCGTCCGTCCATCAATGCATGCGCCATGAAATGGAATGGAATGGAATGGCATGTCCAGTGATGTAATGTGTTGTAACGTAGTGTATTGTTTGTAATTCATTTTTTTTCAATGTGATTGTAATGTAAAGTAAGGTAATGTAATGTAATGTAGTGTAACATGTTTTTCTTTTTTACTTTGCAACATAATGTAATGTAATGTAATGTAACGTAATGTAGTGTATTGCAATGCTGTAATCAATGTAATGTAATGTAGTGCCATCCCATCTCATGCCATGTAGTGCAACCTGATGTCATGTAATGTATGTGTGCAAGATATGTACGCAATGTAATGTCATGGTATGTCATGTCATGCCATGTAAAATGCAATGCGGTATGCAAGTGCATATGTGCATATGGAAGTAATACGTATGTAAAGGCAGTCGTGAGGGATCCAGATGCATTTGCCGGCTTCAAGCGACTAGGGATGGCCCCAGCCTGGCACCATGACCATCCACGGGCTTCAGGTCTGACCCTTCCCTTTCCGCAACCTCGGGCTCAAAGGCGAGGCTCGATTATCTCCAGATCGCTTGCATTGGCGCCTGTGAGGGGCACGGAGTTCGCTCTGGGCCGGTGCTCTTCCAAACCACTTCGCAGACGGGCTGTGGCACGGCGGCGCATTTCAAGATGGAGGACCTGGGCTCAATGGCCAGGACCAAGGATCAAGAAGCCCTCTCAATACGATCTAAGCCAAAAAGGGTGGGGATATCCCAAACAGATATACACCGCAGAGTTGAGCGCCATAAGATCTAAGCCAAAAGGGGGGGGATCCCAAACACAAATACACATAGCGTGCGCATGTTTTGTGGAGGAGGGGGTGCATCCGGTGATCTCTGGCTTCAGTAGCGGCCTCAGGTCGCACTCTTTGCGCGGAGGTGTGTGTGTTTGGCGCCAGCATGCCAGTGACTTTTTTGAGGCGGCCACTTCCCGGGAAAGCAAGGTGCCAACGTCATTGGCGCAACGTTTGACAAGCAACTCGCTTGCATTGGACCTTCAGTTGGTGATTCACATAGGTGGTTCCAATTATGCTTGCTCCCCAGGTCGTACACAGAATCGCTGGCGCATACTGTCGCCTTGGGGAAGTGAATGGGCACGCGCTCAGAAGACGTTGCTGCCAGGACTTGCCGCAAGAAGATTACACTTCTTCAATCCAGCTTGGTTCAAATCCAGCATGGTTCTGGCGCAGCTGAGTTTGAGCAAACTCGTTTCACGGCAACTTGACCTTTGGCTTTGCCTTCACCCCAAGATGAAAGGCGTTGCCTTTGCCTTCACAGCAGCCCATAGCGGCTGCTAGGGCCAGAAGCTGCGTCACGCCCCGATACTCTCCCCTGCAGTTTCGCAGGATTGAGCTGGCCAGATGCAGATTTTCGTGCATGCTGCTCTCTGCCTACTCTTGATGAGACATGGCAGCCACCAAACTATGATGTGTGAAACACTGCGGACGATGGGCGCAAGGCGTGCGAGGGCGCTTCCAGCATTTGAGCAGACATGTCAGCATTCGTTTCGTGAGCTGATGCTTTCCATCAAGTTTCCTCGGAGGCGGTCAGAGAGACTTGGTGTGTCCAGCATCGTGCAACAACACTCAGGAAGACAAGCTTGCACCCATTGTGACACGGAATGATTCGTGACAAGCGCAAAGCAACGCTGGCTCTTGTCGCCAGTGAGCCTTGCCTTGAGCCATGTGTCTGTGGGTGATGCCAGTGATGACATGAAGAGGTGCGGAAATGGCAGTGTTCCACGTCCAGGGCCCCCTCTTTTCCCTCAAGCTTCCCCTCTTCTTTCTGGCCTTTACCTCGTTTTTTCTGGCTCCCATTTGTTCCCTGTCTTGCAGGGCGGGGACCCTCAGCTTCAACGTGAAGCCTCAGGTCAGCAATGGCTCGCCCGGCCCCCGAGTTGGACAATCACCTCCACTCACCCCGACTCAGCCCGATCGACGCACCGACGTACCGACAGAGACCGAAGGGGGGTTCCTTGGGTGCTTGGCACGGGGCGAGGAAGGCCAACCGCACGGAGTATGGCACGGACCCGGCGAAGGCCATGGAGCACCTGCGGCAGTTCATGATCGCCTCGGCAGGCGGGAGCTGGCGGCCTGGTGCTGGGGGACGGGGTGAGGGTGGGTGGCCGGTATTTCCTGGGTCGGTTGAAAGGGACATCAGAGAAACGCCGTCTTTTGTACGCCATTGTGGTGTTTTCCGATTGTACGACAGACTTGGAATGGCATGCTTCATTCCAGCAGATTGGAATCAGTGCGGGTAGCCAAAAGAGGGCGGGAGAGGGGTGCATCCAAGCCGAAAAGTCAAGGGGCAGAAGCTCAAACACCTCCTTTCCCTTTCTTCTTACGCGACTCAAACAGGAACCACGTCAAGTCAAACGAGTCATAAACGTCATTAGCTTAGCGGCGTGCAGAGGTTCATGTGGGTCAGTTGAATCCCACATGTAGCTTTCATTGCCTCAACCCGATTGAAGTCCGACCGTGCAGCGTTTCATGTGGATTTCAGGTGACTTTCCCGAGCCGCCCAAAGTCCAGGCTTGAGAGCCCCCAAGGCCCTGATCGACGAAGGATTTCAGGAACCCAACTGACGCAACTTGCCCCGTGCGACGGCAAGCAGCTGCGAGCATTTGCGAGCTGGCACCGTTCCCGGACTGTGTCATACTCCGTCCAGAGGTTATTAACAAAATTCGACATAATGATCAAGGCTGGTGACTGTGACCATCTTATTTCGTCAGTTTGACGAACATTGAGAATGCAAAACTGCAAAACCATATATTTTGAAGCTTTAAACAGGCTAAACGCTTGAGAATGTCTCAATTGTCAGCATGGTTGTGTTCTGGCAACTTGTTTTCCAAGAAAACTTTCTCCCACCATCAAGAGTCAATTAATATCACAAATTACTTCTCACGACCGGTCACGGTGATTTTGATACAGCCACGACAATTTATTTCAGATTACGCATGCCTTCTTGGACAGAGCTAGGCCTCCTAATAGCTTAGCTGTTTCGCTGTCGGTAGTGCATGTTGCTTTGAAAGCCATGATTTTCAGCAGTTGCTGTCGCATCGTTTCCAGGAAGTCCTCCACAGCTTTCGCAGATCAATCAAGCCTGAATTGATTCAATCAACCAGTCAAAGCAACAAGTAGTTGTTGGATACACCAATTTCATCTTGTGACCTCGTCGGATAAACTAATAGTCTTATGACTTTTTGGATACAATAATAATCTACGACTTGTGGTCAGGCTCTGTGCTGCGTGCGTGGATGGACTTCTTCGATCAGGACATGGCCCGGGCGCCCAGGAACTTGCGCCGACGGCTTTAGGGGTCAGTGCTTCCTGGCTGTGGTGATCAAACATGGGCATCCAGAAGGCTTGCCCTGGTAAATGGAAAGGACCAAAACCTGCGGTCCATATCCTGCTGGTTTGATTTTGGTCCATACCCGCCTGGGAATCAGTTGGAGTGAGTGCTAGGTTTGATTATGACTCAGCAGTTTGTGGGGAGCCGTGTTTCTCACAATGGCTTGCAGTGAACAAAGGCTCAGGAGGAACCCATATGGGGGCAAGACGATAATAATTGAAAGGACAAGCCTGATTTGTTAGTTAATCTCCGTTACACACGCATGCGCTGGTGTCAGGATCATAGAATTTCGAAGACCGAGTTCAGCAAAGGCAGGCCAGCGCAGTCGTCATGGCCCGTAGCCATCATTTCTGATCACCGCGTCAAAACTTGGAGGCATGAGGGAGTTGGGCTACACCGGCGATGTCTTCCAACTGTTCTCCGTCTTGGATGATGCAGCGGCCTCAGGGTCTTGAGCTGCGATTGGGAGTTGATAGCCTAAGGACGGCTCCAACGAGCTGACCCTTGCGCGGGCCCCAGGGAGCAAGTGACATGTGGACCGTTTGAACCCTCCCCATATTCTTGCTAGAAATCCTTCTTCTCAGCAAACCATCAAACACCCAGGGAAACGGATCCGGTTTTTGAAAAGAAGGATGGTTGAAAAGAATGGACAAGGAAATCAACCCCTAGAATTTGTCTTAGCCGAAAATAGTTGCGGCCGCCTTTCTAAGTCTATACATGGTTCTGGGTAGACTTTTTCTTAAAAGTAATAAAGCAGGTTTTGATTGTGACTCAAGTGACATTTGGACCATTCGAACCTAAAACAAGTTCGAGTTGGAGGACGAGATCGACATGAAGCAGTCGAGCATCTGGCGGAACTTCCGGGTCTTTGCGGCAGCCATGTTCAAGTCGGAGGAGGACAGGATGAACGGCAAGTTTTCTACTGGTACCTTCCCCATTCTTTCTAGTGATCCCTCTTTCTAGAAAACCTCCAGAATCCCAGGGAAAACGGCTGGTTTTTGAAAAGAACCATGCTTGAAAAGAACGGGGAATCAAGCACTAGAAGTGTGCAGAGAGCAATTTGTGAGCCTGCCATGCTTCAGGATCTGCTTCAGCGCCTTTGCTTGCACTGGCCCATGTGCAAACTGAACGCCGGTCGGGCCTGCTTCAAAAGAACCCGGGCCAACTTACAGGGGTGTCACGAACTCCGTGCGGATGAAGCTATAGAAAGCCTTAACCAAGTTATTACGGGCGTTTCTGGAAGTTGGGCACCGCAAACAAAATGGGCTGCGCGGTGTCCCTTTTTCACCCCTAACAAGGGGTTTTTACCGTTTGGAGGAGCCTCCCTTATGTTGGCCCTGTTTCGAACCGAAGAGGTTCGAACGTTCGCCGCTGAGGCGGTGTGCCGACTGGGCCTTGGACGTGTCCCCGTCGCTGGCGAAGCTGCGGGCGGACCGGCCGCGGGTGGACCGCCTCACCCGCGAAGAGTTCTGCCGGGGGGCCCGGCCCAATCGATGCGGCGCGGCGGGTCGAGGGATCGAGCGCCAGGTGGGGGAAACGGTTGGCTGAAAGGAGCACCGTTTCTTTGAATCATTTTGCTTGGATGTTAGGACTTTAACTTTTTGCCAACTAATGGGCTTTCCATTAAACCGCTAAAAGCTAAACTTTTAGCAGGGGAGCGGAAAGCAACTGAGGTTTTGGGGAAGTAGCGGCTCACCTCATTCCGGCACATATCCTCTCAACAAGCCAGCAGCCAGCGACGTCAGGGGTGAAGTGCATGGCGGAATGTGCGTTTTGCGTCGAAATAGACAGCACCTCAACCGCAGAAACACCCCGTGCTGCGACGACAAGCCAGCTCAACAACACATCGCAACCACTGCAAAAGCACCCTACGCAACCCTCAGTCTCACTCGCCAGGAACACCCTGCAACGGCAGGCAACCACCCCGCCAAAATTAGCAACAGCACCCTGTGCAACAGCACCAAATCCGCTGCCACTCGAAGATAGAACCCCTGTTGCGTTCACTATTTCAGCTAACTCTTCTGTAGTGACAAAGCCATGGGTCAAAATCCAAGTCGTACCCTTCAGTGAACATCCCAATCCAACCACAAAAGTAGGTTCTAAAATGGTGGTGCATTCACCTCCCTAAAATAGTACCTTTGATTTTGACCCTCAGCCATATGGCTGTGGGTCAAAATGAAACCACCAGGGGACCGCAACTTTTAGTCCATGTTTCCTCTAATCCCATTTGGGTACCTTTTTTTTTTGGGGGGGGGCCCACCGCCATATAGTCAAGTCTTCCCCCCCGCCCTCCTGGCTACTCACACAGCGACGGCCAAGGGGTTGCCGAGGCGTGGGCATGCGGAAGAGCGGGTGGACATGGAGTGTGGCGGACCTCAACTGGGCGCCTGGGCAGCAGAGTATCCCCAGGGCAAAATTCGGGCCAATGTGGCTGTGGGTCAAAACCAAGGGTACCATTTTGGGGCAGGTGCACCACCCATTTTAGTCCATTTTAGTGCGCGCCGGGAAACCCACCCGCTTACCATTTGGCGTGTGTGTGTGTGTGTGTGCAGCGCAAAGCGGGTGCACTTCAGCAGGTGTTCTTACCATGTGGCACGCGCGTGAGCAGTGCCGAGCGGGTGTACTTTAGCAGGTGTTCTTACCATTCGGCATGCGTGCGTGCAGCGCTGAGCGGGTGCAATTCAGCGGGTGTTCTTACCATTTGGCATTTGTGTGTGTGTGTGTGCAGTGACCAGCGGGTGCACTTCAGCGGGTGTTCTCACCATATTGCATGCGTGTGTGCAGTGCCGAGAGGTTGCACTGCAGCGGGTGTTCTTACCATTTGGCATGCGTGTGGCAGTGCCGAGCCGGTGCGCTTGAGCTGACATTTTGCGTGCGTGTGCGCAGCGCTGAGCGGGTGCTCTTGAGAGGGTGTTCTTGCCATGTTGGCGGACTACCCGGTACCTTTTAGTGGGGATTGGGATGTTCACAGGGGACCATAAAAGTCCGTTCCAATGTCCAGGGTTCCTTCTTTTTTGACCTCTGGGTAGAAACTCAGGGGTTCCTTCTCCTTTTGGGGAATCAACAACCCCTGGGTTTAAGTCTGCCTTGCGGACGGAACCCTGCCAATGTCGGCGATGCCGAATTCGGATTTGGGGGGCACCCATAGTGGTCTCAGAGACACTCCTAACCACGAAAAGCGGGCCGAGCGGTAAGGAGCGTGTCTCTAGTGGTTTTGGAGACCTGCGGGTGACTTTTGGGTGATCCCAAGTAGGTCTCAGACCGTAGCCTCATGAGAAGTTAGTTGCCTCGAGCGGTCTGCGTTAGATCTTTGACGCCTTGCACGACCAGACGGACCAGCTTCTGAAGGCAGACGGCCTTCGCCCGAGACTCAGTTTGTCGCTTGTGCTGTCCGTCAATACCATGCTTTTGCAATGCTGGGTGCAAGGCTGGCTGCCCATTGAACTGGTCCGGAAACAGAAGAAACTGGAGGCCAAAGCGAGATCGAGCAAGTACCAGGCTCGCACGGCATCTTGCATCGGGAAGGGCAAGATGGCGAACTTGGTTGCGAAGTTTCAATCATTGCGCCGATTCAGGCTCTTCACTTTGAAGCAAAATTGGCGCCAAGGATGTTTTGGGCTTGCATGAGAGCATGGCAGAGATGCACTCCAGTTTAGCGTATGTAAGTAGCTAGTGGGAGCCAATGAGCTGGGGGTATACAATTTGCTTTTAAAGAGAGAGCTCAGGAGCTCCCGATCGAAGTTCTGTAAGGACATGGGATCCCGGTCAAGGGCATTGATGACTTTGGGATCGTGTCACCCATCCCTCGTGCCCTGCCAGAGGCGCTGCAGAGCCGGACTGATGTGTCGGCACAGGCAAAGCACCGCCACTTTGAGCGGTTCAAGGCCGAAGGGGGGCTTTGGGCCTTTTGTGGAGCAGGTACCCCTTAGAATAAGTTTTACTGATAAGAGCTTCACTGCGAAGCCGGCGATGTTTGAAACTTTGAGTCAGAGGCCTGTGGTTCGGCTGAGAACTCCTTTTGTGGCTTGCCAAGTGCATTGAGGGCGCGGCGCTTTGACTTGAGAGGGGGGGGGGGGGGGTGAAATGCAAGTCCAAATAAAACGGACTCAACAAGAGAAGGTTCGGCCCGAAAGGGCTGAGAACTCTCTTGAATGGGTGTAAAGCTCGGAACGTGTCCAGTGATGAGAGAGGCCAATGAAGTGACTGGCGGGTTTGTTGGTTCGCCTCACAGAGAGGCCTACCTGCGGAAGAAGTACGGCAACCTGATCCGAGCGTGGCGGCAAGCGCTGTCTCAAACGGATTCTATGGCTGCATGGCAGCACAAAGTCCTAGGGCTACCTTCCATTTCCATTCTTTCCAGGGATCCTTCTTCTCAGGAAACAATCAAAAAGCCAGGGAAACGGATCCGGTTTTTGAATAGAACCAGGGTTGAAAAGAATGGAAAAGGAGTCAACCCCTCGAAAAGTTGGCACCGTTCTGAGGGCCCAGCTTTCGACCGCAGTTGTGCGTTTGGCTTGGGTTTGAGGCTTGCTACGTGTTCCTGCTCAAAGCGCGCAGCATGGCGTGCCCTGTTTAGCTCCACCATCCTGAATTCCTTCAGCAAAGTTGGGATCAGGAGAACACACGGAGAACAGTCATCAACTTGGGCCACTTGCCCCGATGTTTGGAGGCCTTGGGGGAGAGGTTCGTTCCTCACCACGTCAGAACGTGTCCTATGCATGAAATCTGTCCTTTCTATGAACCCTGGTGCTTGTTCCTGAGTCGGAAGGCCTCTCTCTCTTTGGGCCTCGTGGCTGCGCAGGAAGCACGTTGCCAATCGCGCGATTTCGGCAAGGGGCCACCCCTGAAGGCATCCAGCGCCCTCAAACAAAAACGCCTAAAAACAGCAACACCACACGAAGAAGCAACACACACCATGTCTCGGACAGCTAATCCACCCAACTCATTATGCTGAGCCCAGCCGAAAGCCAGCCGCTGGTTGTGAGCTTTGTAAGCTCGCTCGTCCTCATTGGTTTAACGGCCGGGCCGCGCGAGAAAAAACATGCGCTCCCGGTGTTCGATGTGAACGCGGCGTCGCGCAAATGCCAACCACGAGGCGAGGCCCATTCCTTGTGCCGCGAGGTTAAGGTCCCTGCGGACAGAATGGCCGAAGCCTAGTCCGCGAAAGTGACAACAGTGACGTACGCTCAACGGACAACACACTTCTGCTGTGAATTCATCGGCGGCGTTCTGTTCTCCAAAGCTGTCCCCTTTATGTCACGCAATCCGTGCGTCTGTCGGAGCTCTTTAGCCGAGGTTCTGTCGAAGCTTCACTTCCTCAAGGCCGGACCGGGGCCGTCTTGAGGATAACTCCTGTTTTGGGTGGACAGAGAAAGACGACTTGCGGGTTCCCTCCGATGTTTTTTACACATGACTAACTTGGTGTGTGTTGACACATGCCCACCGTTGCGCTGCGCTCTGAGTCGCCTGATTGCCAGGCAGCTTCTAGGCTGGGGTTCGCGAAAGAGTCCAAAGATCTGTGGAAAGCGCTGGACAAAGACGACAGCGGCTCTGCCTCCATCGATGAATTGGACCCAAAGAATGCCGAAGTGCTGGCCCAGTTCAAGGCCGCAGCAGCGAGATACTTTGAGATGTGGGGCATCGGCGTATGGGTGGGTCAAAATCCAGATACTTTTTTTTTTGGGCAACCCCCGTTTTGTTTGGTTCATTTTGAAAGGGAATCTCGGGGGTAGGGGGGTTCGACCCACTGCCATATTGATGTCAATGGGAAGATTTGTTTTGTCTCTCCCTGAGGTGTGGATGACCAAGAAGTTCGGGGGCGTGCGCGAGGCGGATGGATGTGTTGAGCCAAGGGCGGTCCCAGTCAGGCGCAAATGGATTCTATCATATGGCCATGGGTCAAAATCTCGTACCCCCAGTGAACATCCCAATCCCCACCAAAGTAGACTAAAATGGGTGGTATTGGTTTTGACCAACAGCCAAATTTGGGAAAAACAGATGCTGCGTGCACGATGGTCCTTTGGCGCAAGCGACTGGAACCCGTTGCTTTCGCTTCAACACAGTTCGGGAGAGTCGTTTCCTCTATATCCCTAGATTCGGAGGTTTCCCTCTTGTTTTCTGGGGCTTTTTCCGGGCCCAGGTCGGCTGGGCACCCATATTCCCCCGCACCCCCCCGCACCCCCTTTTCGATTTTTGGTTCTTGCGGAGGCCTTCAGCGCCATCGACTCGGACAGCACCCGCTTCATCTCCAGCTCCGAGTTCCTCTCGGCGCTGCAGCGTTTCGAGTTCCCGCGGCCCAGCAGGCGGGTCGCTCGCGGGGCCGGGGGTGGCCCGAGGCCCGAAAACGGAAAAGGGGAGCGATCCATGGGGATGAGGCGCAGAGCGATGGAGCCACCCTGAGGTCCCTTGAAAGAAAGGCAGGGTGTTCGCTACCTGGTCTAAGAGAAAGCCCATGTGGACCTCTTGGAACGATGTGGATACCAAAGGCCAGCGGAAGCGAGAGCTGGTTCCTTTTTCCGCCAGCTTTACATCTGCGAGATGAGCTCGGTTCGGCGCTTTTCTCTACGATCGCCTGACTTTGCCGAGGCAGCTTTTCAGCCACTTTGACAAGGACGGGGATGGCAAGATCGCGGTGGGCTCAAAAAAGAGACTGCTTGGTGTGGACCGCCTCCGGCGGAAGGATATGCGAAATCGCGGTTTCCACTTTCCGCTTCTTGTTGTCGTTGACGTGTTGAGGTTTGGGGAAACTTGGGCGGGGGATCCGCCCAGGTTCTTGATGACGTACTTTTCCTGGAGAGCTGGAACCCGCTGCCCTTCCTGGTGGTGTTGCCCAACTTCAAGGCTGGCGTGGTCATGTTGACCCCATATCAACCCCAGTTTATGAATAGGAGGGTGTCCCTGGGTTGAGTGGGGAATCATCACTTCATCACTTTTGGAGGGGAGACACCCCCATAGTAGTAGACTGGGGTTGATTTATATGGGGTCAGCATTCTGCAGCGCTTCGTGGTTGGCCGTTGTTTGCCGAGGCCAAGAACGAGATCAAGAAGCTGATCCTCGTGAGGACGGGCCAGTACATGAAAGCCTGGCCGGGGCCTCGGTCGATGCATGCGACTCGATGGGGGGCATCGAAGCATCGGAGGCGCCGGCTGTTGGACAAGGATGCCACCAATCGAGCCCGGCGGCACTAGAGCATTTTTTTGGTAGTGGTTCTCATTGGGAGTGCAGGGAGCCACTGCCACTGGCTTCTTATGGGTGTGGCTCAAAATTGAAGAGCTAGGGTACCTTTCACATATTCTAGTCTTTGGTTCCATTTGCCAAGGTGCCATTTCGGTACAATTTTTTGAGCCACAGCCACTTCTTATCTGATAACCCCAGGATGCAACTGGTACGAGTTCAAGGACGCCTGCCAGGTCTTGGGCTACTCGGGCCCGCGCCTGACGTGTTGTTGCGCCTGACGTGTTGTTGCCTTGGCCTTGGCCTTGTTGGCCGTTGGCGCCAAGGTGACGTCGCAGGCGCCTGGCGAGCCTTCGACGACGACCTGCCATGCCCTGAGCACCAAAGGGTCGGTCGGGGGGCTTGCCGGCTTGTGGATCCTTAAAATTTCCTGGGAAAAAACCAACAGCAACAGTTGAAAGTAGAAAATGGTAAGCAAGACTTGGCCATTCGCGCGCGGCTGAGCAGCTGGCCTTCTCTGAGTAGCCTAGTGCGACCAAAATTGCTTATCAGCTGCAGGTCTGGGTACATCTCCTTGAAAGAGATCGACGAGGAGTCGGCCCTCGTGTTGTCCAACTTCAGGCCAGGTGCCGGACAGTGCCCGCTTGCCAAGGCGGATGTTTCTGACAAGGGTGTCATCCAAAGCGTTTTTTTTCTTCTTTCTTTTTCATGCAGCTGCCGCCAGTTATTTGGAAGAAAGCACATGAGCCGGCCAGGAAGTGGTCCTCCCTGGAGTTCGGCTCCATGAAGTCTCTCTTCAAGGTTTTCGATGCGGACTGCTCGGGGAGTTTGACCTTCCAGGAGTTCCGCTCTGCCTGCCACATCTACGGCTACGACGGCTCCGTCAGGCGCTTTGGTGCCAGCTGGTGCCATAGGGCCATGGCCGTGTTGCCCCCAATCAAAGCTTGCGCTGTCAGAGGTGGCAGGCGTTTTTCTCGGCAGTTTGCTCCGTTTTTTTTTTTTTGTTTAATTGGGGCGCACGCGCATTTTTGATGGTGTTGCAAAACCGGGGGGCCCTTCCAATGGCTTGTTTCATGGTGCTTTTGAGGCCATCCCGTCAGACACCCGGGGGGAAAAATCGGCTTTGCTTTGTTCAGGGCCATCTTCTCTGCATTGGATGTGGATCAGCAGGGCACGTTGACGATGCGCCTGGGCTGGAAACAGGCCAGCTCGCAGGCGCTGAGGGTTCAAGGGACGCCAGTCCCCATGACCGCTGTATGTTTTTGTTCTTTTTTTTTTGGACCCCCCCAAAAGAAGAAGAAGAAGAAGAAGAAGAAGAAGAAGAAGAAGAAGAAGAAGAAGAAGAAGAGCGGTTTTGCTTCGGTTTTCCAGTTAGACCACAAAACAGGGACCCTTACAAAAGGACGGGCCACGCGTATCACCAAGATTGCAGGGCTCTGCGTATCTCGTCGGCTCGACAAGAACTGAGGAAGGAAGTCTTATTTTTGGACGACTGGGATGATGGCGAGGAGGGGTCCGCAACTCGTGCCCAAACATCCGAGGTCTAAACTTCTGCGTGGGGTTTCGGTTTCTGGATGGATCTGGGGGGTGTCCTTCTCCTTCTCTTCCTTTCCTTGGGGCTAGGGGAAGGGAGTGTCACTTCCCTGGAAGCCCCCCGCCCCAATGGGTGGTTGTTCTATTGGTTTCCCTGTAATGCCACAAAAAGGGGCACCCTCAAATAGACACATTCTGCACTTGCCCTTTCTCAGAGAAGCTTTTCAGTCGCCACCGTCTGACGGCCCAACCTTGCCAGGAGGAGGAGGGCGACGGCCCGCAACCAGGCGCGCACAGCCCGCGGTTTTTCACTCGTCCGGTTCGGCCGGCCCCAAACCCGCCGAGGCGCGCTGGTTCCGCGACAGGCAGGATGGAGTTTTTTTGGGTGCTGGATTTTTCTTGGCAGCCTTGTCATTATTTTTCTCTTGTCTTAATTTTTCTCTTGGCGCCTTCTTGTTTTCTGTAAGGCTTCTTGATTGCAAATGGGCCGTCTTGTGTCTCTGCCTACTGTGTCCTGTTTCCTGTTTGGCTTGGTTTCGCCAAACGATTGGCTTCTTTTGCTCTAGGTGCGATTCTATTCGGTTCTTTGGGCAAGTCGTTTTCTTTTGTGTCTTTCCAACCCTTGGTATGGGCTTGAAGATGAGCAGGCCCAACAACCTAACAACCTCAAAAAGTAACGGTGGTTTGCAGCACCACTAAAAACGAGCTGAACCAAAAAACCAAATTAGTGTTGACCCAGGATTAATCAACCCGTCCCATTATTAGGGGAGTGTTCCCTCCAAAAGTGGTCTGAATCCAACCACTAAAAGGGGACACCCCCTATTAATCAACCAGAGGTTCTGCTGAATCCGGGGTTAACATTACTTCAAAGCAACATGATCCACCGAGACAGCGACAATGTTTTGGACCTTCTCCTTGGCAATTCATTCGAGCGGCTCAGCATTCCCTCAGGCCAAGGCCTACCATGGTCCAAGCACCTGGCAACTCACGGATCCCCCCGTGCCTCGGTATGGACACAGGGCTTTGGTCTCGAAAGGAGTGGATTCCCCCGCAAAAAATTAAGCTCCAAAAAATTAGCTGGGTTCCTCAAGGCCATGTTTTCGGTGGCGGCGCCCCTTGACCGACGGGACTGTTTGCGTTTGAGGGTGAGTCCTGCCGCAAGCAGCAGGCCTATCTTTCAGGGGTAGTTCGCTATGCCGGATTCGATCTCGGACGAGACGTACGACTCCCCGCCCAAGAGGTGGAGAGCTAGTCCTTTGTTCAGCAAATTCTTTTTGCCCGAGCTGTTGGTAGAAGCTGCCACCCGTGTTTTGGGACATTTTCTGAAGCACGTCCGTCGTTCAAGGGAACCCCAGCATGAAAACGCATGGCGCCAAGTGGCCACGTCCGCCGCTCAAGGGAACCCCCGCAGCAATGAAAACACCAGCAGCAGTGAAAACACATGGCACCCAATGTTTTCGTCAGTCAATGAAATAGGTACATCCGCCGTGGAAGGGAACATGCGCAGCAGTGAAACCACATGGCGTCAAATGTTTACGTCCGTGGTTCAAAGGGAGCCCCTGCAGCAATGAAAACGCGTGGCACCAACTGATTACTGATTGGGTCCGTTGATCAAGGGAACCCCCGCAGAGGTGAAAACGCATGGCACCAAACGGTTACGTTCCTCGTTCAAGGGAACCGCAGCAGTGAAAACACATGGCGCAAAATGGCTACGCTCGTTGTGTGAACGAGGGAGCCCGCGGAGCAGTGAACACATGGCTGCGACGTTTGACGTTTGTCTTTCATAGGAACCTTCGCAGTGAAACCGTGTGGCGCCAAATCATCACGTTCATGGCTCAAGGTGCTTGGCAGGTAAAAAAAGAGGAGCCGAGCGGGCTTCGGCCAACTTGTGCTTCGGCGGGCTCTTATGAGATTTTGCGTTTCACCGAGGCAAAACATGTCGTTTCACTCGGACAGGGCGCGCTTTTGCTACTTTCGAAGGGCTCTCAAGCCCTGCTTCGCGCATGCAGAAACCTGGGTTGCGGCGCAGTGTGACACTGTGGGCGTGTTTCTTCGGAAGAAACAGCGCGGTCGGTTTACAGGCGCCTCAACCATTTTTTTCTTTTCTTTTTTTTAATATTTGGGTGTCCCTTGAACAACTAACCAAAGGGGGTCCTCAAAAAAGGACCCAGCAGTCCCCTTGCGCTAAGGCTAGGGCGCGCGAGGTGATCAAGCGAAAGCGTCTCGGGCTTGCCATCCGTGACACAGGGCTGGCTGGGTGGCGGCTGCGTGAGGTGACTTGCATGGCCGTGCCATGCCCGACATTCCGCGCGTGCAGCTCTGCAAAGGCTCGTGACCTTTTGGTTCAGCATGCAGTGCTCAGGCTTGCACTTGGGGAGCGCAGGAGACGAGTCATCTTCGAAGTTCTGGCCAGAGAAGAGCCAGAGCGCGTCCCGAGCCCAGCGTCCTTTTTCGGTGGAAGCAGGTCGCAGTGTCCAAGTCGAGGCGGGAACCGCGACTCCACTCGCGGCAGAAGTCCTTTGCCACGGCAAACTCTCGCACCTTCGAGGAGCCGAGCCGAGCGACTCGCTGCATGGCAAAGGGCAGGGTCAGCCGTCTCACAGGACTGGGCAAGGAGGACATCCACGCCTTCCAAGAGCATCATGAGTCACCAGCTGAGCTCGGCAAGTGAACATCGGGAGTCTGAAAGAATGTCGAAGCGGCAGGGTGACCAGAGGGAGACGAAATGAAGTTGAAATTGCAGGTGTGACATGGGTACTTGCAAGAGTTGCCACTGGGAAGGGATTGCAGTGAGTGATCGAGCAAAGCAAACTGACTAAACTTGGCGGTCGGTGCATGGAGCGCAACTCAGGCCTGGACTGGCAGGAAGACCCACTGTCCACTTGCATGATGATGGAGCAGGCCAGTGGCGCTCGCCAACTCCGGTGGAAGATCATTTTTTGAAGCTGCAGGTGGGGCTGCCAAGTGTTTCTTCCGCCTGGTGCGACCTCCCTTTGAAAGATCTGCAAAGTGCCTTGGTTGGAAATGCGCCTGGTGGATCAAACCAGGCAATGGAGAAAATCCGTGGCTTTTTGAAGATTCGGTCATTTTGCACCCTGTTTAATTGGTGCATCTCCGTCACGGCAGGAGAAAAAAAGAGGAAAAACAACAAACAACACCAAGGAACAGATTTGCATCAAGGCTCGCGGGAAACTCAGATCACGACAGTCGTTGGGCCTGTCGGACCTTCTACTTACCGAGGCTGGGTAAGCCCCTCTCCGCCACCTGGAGCCCTTCTAGCCAGGTGCCCAGCTGGACATCTTTCAGTTCACGGACACATGAGGGGCCAACCCCGCCAACCCCCCCCCAGCCCCCTCCCCAACTTTTTTTTTTATAGTTTTTTTGGCGAAGGTAGCGTCCATGGCCGACTTCCTTCAGCGCAATTTTGGTCCAAGGCTCGGCCAAGCCGACGCTGGACGATCTCCTCACCCCGGCGCCGCTCAGAAAGGCGGCGCTGGCCAGGGTGAAGCGCACTTCGATCGACGCCAGGCGCCGGAAGGTTGCGACCGGGTTGCTTCCCCCAACCTAACCGCAGGTCAGGTGGTTTTCAGCCAGTTGCGGCTGGTCAGGGGAACAGGCTCAAGCCTTTTTGTCTCTTTGGAGCGCCTTCAGCTGAGCACTCCAGCAGAGGCCTGCCACCTCTGATTGTTCAGCAAGAGGGCGAATTCAGCCAGGTTGATCAGGTAGCAACTGGCGCTATGGTCAAAATACATATCTCTTTACTTGTTGGTTGAGGCTTGGTGTCAGTCATTAGGCTTCTGTTTCAGGAACCAGTTGTTCCCAAAGGGTTTTGACCAGCCGGTGACAGTGTCACAGTGTGCGCTAGTGCCTGGAAAACCCAGCTACTGGCCTCAGCCACGACAGCCCAGCGCTTCCAACTCCAGAGCCGCGCTTTGGCTTTTGCAGCGAGCGGCGTACGTACGGATCCGCTGCTAATATGATGCTTGTCTGTGTTGGCTCCAGGTTTCACGTAGAACATTGTTTCCGGTTGATTGCGGGTTCATTTTGCCTTCCTTGCAAGAGAGAGGTGCAGTGGCAAGGAGAAATCAGCTAGCAGGCCAGCCGAAGGCTTTCTCTAACAAATGGCCTGATTGTCCATCATCAGTTATGGAGGCGGAATCGGATCAAGGCGGGCGCATTCCAGCGTGTCGCGCCCGCTGGCATGGGTTGAATCGGATAATTTTGACGCTCGCGACTCGCGAGGCGAGGTCTCGTCGCTGACGATTGTGCGGCAGTTTCTGGAAAAGACCTGTGGGTCAGTCCTGAAAGCCTGGCCGGGGCCTCAGACCGCTCGGGCGGCCCATGTTTTTCCCCCTTTTTTCCCCCCCTTTTTGCTTCCTGGTTTTCTTTTTTTGTTTCTCTTCCGCGGACCGGAAGATGTCCTGGCGCGCTGAGGCGTGCAGGTTTTGCGCGGATGCATGCGCTCCATGGTGCATCCAAACAAGTGCATGCACAAGTGCATGCGTGTGTGTGTGTGTGTGCGCACAAGGTCTGCGTGCAAGCACGCCCACAGAGACGCACAGACACACAGAAGAGCAGAACAGAGACATAGACACAGAAACACACAGTCACACAGGCAAACAGGCAGAAAGACTCGCAGACACACTTGCATACAGATACACAGACACCTGCCTCTATCTACCTACGCATGCAAACGCACTGGGGCACGTGCGCACGAACGTTTGCACATGCACGCGCGCGCACGCGCACACACACACACACATGCGCTAAGACTCGCGAGGGACTAATCAGTCAATCAGTTTCGAGTGATAACATGTCGAGTGTCAGTCAAGCAAATGCAACATGTGTTCAAGTTGAGATGGCTTCCCTCTAGACAGACATGCAAGCAGGCAGACAGACAGAGAGACACACGCGCACACACACACACATACACCGCTACACCTACGCATGCACGTCGCCAAGTATGTACGTGCATGAACGGAAGCACATGCACACATACACACTTACAAATGCACGTGGTCACGTACGCTTTTGCGTGGCACCTGCATACCTATGTATCCACGTGCATACGTACCCCTAGGCAAGTGCGTGCCCGCCCACGCACTTGCCCACGTACCCACCCACCGGATGCATTTGTCTCTGCACGCATTCTTATGCTTGCACACCCACATGCATACCTGATCGAATTGCCATTGTTTTGCAAGTTGGCAATGGGTCCCTTTTCCGAGGTTGAAGCACCTCGATGTAGATGTTGATTACAGGATCTCGAAGCAGCTCGGCAAAACCCACACTGGGATTTAGGGCTGATTCGGGGTCCACTTCTGTGGTACAAGGGGTCGTCTTTGGGAAGCCTTTTTGTTGCAGAGAAGTGGATTCCTTTCCCACAGCCGGGTTGCAAGGATCGAATTCATGGAGGGAATGCGGCAGCTCAACTACACACCGCAGCAGCTTCCACGACTCTTCGCTGGAATCGACCAGGCGACCCCAGATTCTGACAAACTGAGAGATTTGCCCGCACATAAGTCACATTTCTCGACCGCTGCCATGCGGTGAATTACCAACGCTCGACTGAAGCCTTTTTAGCTTGCCCACTGGCAAGCTCCATCCTGCCTGTGCTGACAGGATGGGTCCGGCGAGATCACCCTCGCTCGGGGCACAGCTTCCTGCGCATAGGCGTCCCTTTTTTGTTGGTTTGCTTAAAAATAGAGGGCGATTCCTGGTTTAGATGGGGTTTATTCCATTTACCAGGGCCAACTATTTTTTCTCAATAGGCCACCTATGTTCCTGAGTCCCCCCTTGGGGATGTTATTCCATTCAAGGGCACTCTGAGGATGAGATCGATGAAGAGGAGATGGCGTTGTGGAACAGATTCCGGTCCTGGGCTGTCCGCTGCTTATATAACGTTTTAACGAAGGTTGCCTGAGTGGAGAAAAAAAGCAAGGTTCAGACCTTCTACAGTGTCGAGGACAGGGACGGCTCAACTGGTCTCATGTGGAGGCTCAAATTGCCCAAGTTCGTGAGAGCGCGTGCTGTGCGACCGCCGCAGGATTTCATAGTGACCCTTGCCGCCGATCCCAGCAGCTTGACAAGCCTGTCTGCGGAGGCGAGTGACCGCAAACAAATTGGGAGACCATGTCTTGGGATGTGTCAAACATGAGCTAGTGATGTTATGCCGGCCGGCTGGCGTCCTCGTGGAAAGGTTTGTTTCCAAGTCCCCGCGGTGACAGTTGGGTGCGCCTTCAAGTAAGCTTAAGGAAGACCCAAAGTAAACAACTAGCTGTAGCATCGAACATGTCCAACAAGGGCAACATATGTCGCAACTATTCCAGGTTTTGGTATCGCAGTTGTTTGGGTACTGCTGTTTAGCCCGTCACCTAATGCCCGACAAGAGCACGATCGCTTCTTCGCCATTCTAATATCGCGCTCGCGAGATGCCGATGGAAGGGTCATGCAGTGTTTCATTCGTGCGATCCCAGCGCACGGGCCACAAAGATACACGTCAGCAAAGCATTTGGCTTACACAACGCGAAAACTTCACCTCGAGATGGAAGGAAGGGAGTGGGACGCAAGCGACCCGCACTGGGGCAGGCTGAGCAGGCCAGCGCAAGTGAGTGAATGTAAGAGTTGGTGACGTGCTTCTCCGCAGGTAGCAAAGATAGTCATTGTCACATATGTAGCAAATTTCCAGAAATATCACTTTTTGAGAGCTTCAAAATGAAAAGGACGAGCTGGAACTCTACATTTGACCGTCTGTCAATCTGGCAGCGCCTCGCCGGCTGGGTGAGCGTAAGCGTGTGCGTGTGCGTGTGCATGTGCGTGTGCGTGTGCGTGCGCGTGCGCGTGTGCGCGTGTGCGCGTGTGCGCGTGTGCGCGTGTGCGCGTGTGTGCGTGCGTGCGTGCGTGGGTGCGTGCGTGAGTGAGTGCGTGCGTGAGTGCGTGCGTGCGTGCGTGCGTGCGTGCGTGCGTGCGCGCGCGCGGGGCGTGGCGTGGCGTGGCGTGGCGTGGCGTGGCGGGGTGGGGCGGGGCGGCGGGCGGGGCGGCGCGGCGCGGTGCGCGGCGCGGCGCGGCGCGGCTCGCGGCGCGGCGCGGGGCGGGGGCGGGGCGGGGCGGGGCGGGGCGGGGCGGGGCGGGGCGGTGCGGTGCGGTGCGGTGCGGTGCGGTGCGGTGCGGTGCGGTGCGGTGCCGTGCCGTGCCGTGCCGTGCCGTGCCGTGCCGTGACCGTGCCGTGCCGTGCCGTGCCGTGCCGTGCCGTGCGGTGCGGTGCGGTGCGGTGCCGTGCCGTGCCGTGCCGTGCCGTGCCGTGCCGTCCCGTGCCGTCCCGTGCCGTCCCGTGCCATCCCGTGCCGTCCCGTGCGTTTGTGTTTGTTTGTTTGTGTGTGTGTGTGTGTGTCTGTGTGTGTCTGTGTGTGTCTGTGTGTGTCTGTGTGTGTCTGTGTGTGTCTGTGTGTGTGTGTGTCTGTGTGTGTCTGTGTGTGTCTGTGTGTGTCTGTGTGTGTCTGTGTGTGTCTGTGTGTGTCTGTGTGTGTCTGTGTGTGTCTTTGTGTGTCTGTGTGTGTGTGTGTGTGTCTGTGTCTGTGTCTGTGTCTGTGTCTGTGCCTGTGTCTGTCTCTGTGTGTGTGTGTGTGTGTGTGTGTCTGTGTGTGTCTGTGTGTGTGTCTGTGTGTGTCTCTGCGTGCGTGCGTGCGTGCGTGCGTGCGTGCGTGCGTGCAAGCGTGCGTGCGTGCGTGCGTGCGTGCGTGCGTGCGTGCGTGCGTGCGTGCGTGCGTGCATGCGTGGGCGTGCGTGCGTGCGTGCGTGCGTGCGTGCGTGCGTGCGTGCGTGCGTGCGTGCGTGCGTGCGTGCGTGCGTGCGTGCGTGCGTGCGTGCGTGCGTGTGCGTGGGTGGGTGTGTGTGTGTGTGTGTGTTTGCGTGTTAGTTTGTTTGTTCCCGCTGGCTGACTCAGAATCGCTGCTCACACTTGGTTCATTCTTCGGGAAACTGCCATGTGTTGCTACGGTTCAGCTTGACGCAGTCAATGTGAGTGTCTTGCCCTGGTTTCCGTGGTATGCTGCCTGCTGCTGTGGCTTCCATGATGTGAAGGTGAAGGACATAGTTAGGAAGTTGGGTGGCAAAAGGGGTTGACACATGGTTTTTCCAGCATTTGCACGATAGCAATGACAGGCGGTCGAGAGTTATTGCACGTACTACAGAGGTCACACGTGGGGCGTATGTCGAGGTTCTCAATATATTGACAGACTTCAAGTTAGAACATCATTTGGTGAATCCATGTTCTAACTGGACCCGGGTTAGAACATATTTAAGCGTGCGACATTTGTCCTTGGGTATTTTTGTTTAGAACATCCAAGTTAGAACATCAACAATGGCGAACCATTGTTGCATGCTGCGTTTGAAGGGGGTTGCTTCCTCACCAAGGCTGAACAACTATGCATTTGTGTTGCAGTGATTTGCGTTTCAGAGTGTCTCGCAACATGACGGCTTTGTTTGCAATGTATGTAGAAAACACATGCCTTTTGAAGAATTGTGTTTAGCTTGAGGCGTGGGCATTTTAGTCGCAGCTGCGCTGATCGTAAGACGTCAGCTTCCTATTCCTCTCTCGTGCGTCGGCGCTCAATTTACTCTCACCGCGGGGGCGGGGGTAATCTGGGAAGTGCCGGGCCTGGAAATCGGCAGCTTTCAGGTTGGGGCTGGTTTAGGGCTAACGCTACTGGCGGACTGCTCTTGTTGCAATAGGCTTGAAACTTATGGGTTTGTTCAAGGTTGAGGCTAGAGACTTACAACATCTGGAGGGGGATTGTTTAGGGTTCAACCCGGGCAGCCGTGCATTTGCCGATGTTCTAACTGTGTGCCCCGTTACTTAAAACAAGAAGAAAACACATACCTTTTGTAGAATTGTGTTTGGCTTGAGACGTGGGGATTTTAGTTGTTTAGCCCTAAACAGCCCCCAAAGTCAAAGTTGCCGATGTCCCAGGTCGCCCCCCCCTTCCCGCCGGTGAGAGTAAAATGAGTGCTGCTGCACTAGAAAGGAATAGGAAGCTGACCTGTAGGTCTAGACAACACAGCGCGACTGAAACCCCAACACCTTACGCCAAAACGTGTTTTCCCCGAAAGTATGTGTTTTCTTCCTATTTCAATTAGCGGGACCCACAGTTAGAACATCGGCAGATGCACGCTTGTCCGGCTTTAAACCGCAATCTTAGCAGGGGAGTGGGGTTTGGCGGGAACCTGGGAAGTGTTGGGCCTGGAAATCGGGAACTTTCAAGGGTTGAGGGCTGACATTTCGGGTTCAATCCGGACAGCCGTGCATCTGCCGATGTTCTAACTGTGGGTCCCGTGAATTGAAATTGGAAGAATACACATACTTCCTGAAACATCAGGGGGTTCAGTTGCAGCTGTGTTGTCTAGACCAAGAGGTCAGCTTCCTATTCGTTTCTCGTGCGGCAGCACGCATTTACTCTCACCGGGGGTGGGGTGGGGGGGTGCGAGCCAGGGAAGTGTGCCTGGAACTCGGCAACTTTCAGATTGGGGTCTAAAACCATGGGCGGACTGCTCTTGTTTTTGTAGGCGTGAAACTTTTGGGTTTGTTCAGGGTTGAGGCTAGAGGGTTACAACATCTGGAGGGGGATTGTTTAGGGTTCAACCCGGGCAACCGTGCATCTGCCGATGTTCTAACTGTGTGCCCCGTTAATTTAAACAAGAAGAAAACACATGCCTTTTGTAGAATTTTGTTTGGCTTGAGACGTGGGGATTTTAGTTGCAGCTGTGGTTTAAGCCCTAAACAGCCCCCAACGTCAAGGTTGCCGATGTCCCAGGTTCCCCCCCCCCTCCCGCCGGTGAGAGTAAAATGAGTGCTGCTGCACTAGAAAGACCTGTAGGTCTAGACAACACAGTGCGACTGAAACCCCAACGCCTTACGCCAAAGGTTTTTTCCCGAAAGTATGTTTTTTCTCTATTTCAATTAGCGGGACCCACAGTTAGAACATCGGCAGATGCAATCTTAGCGGGGGAGTGGGGTTTGGGGGGAACCTGAGAAGTGTTGGGCCTGGAAATCGGGAACTTTCAAGGGTTGAGGGCTGAAGCATGTGGTGGGGGGGGGGGTGGTTGTTTCGGGTTCAAACCGGACAACCGTGCATCTGCCGATGTTCTAACTGTGGGTCCCGTGAATTGAAATTGGAAGAATACACATACTTCCTGAAAATCAGTTTTGGCTTAAGGCGTGGGGGGTTCAGTTGCAGCTGTGTTGTCTAGATGAAGAGGTCAGCTTCCTCTTCGTTTCAAGTGCGGCAGCACCCATTTTACTCTCACCGGGGGTGGGGTGGGGGGGTGCGAACCAGGGAAGTGTGCCTGGAACTCGGCAACTTTGAGATTGGGGTCTAAAACCATGGGCGGACTGCTCTTGTTTTTGTAGGCGTGAAACTTTTGGGTTTGTTCAAGGTTGAGGCTAGAGACTTACAACATCTGGAGGGGGATTGTTTAGGGTTCAACCCGGTCAACCGTGCATCTGGCGATGTTCTATCTGTGTGCCCCGTTAATCTAAACAAGAAGAAAACACTTGAAAACACATGCCTTTTGTAGAACTGTGTTTGGCTTGAGACGTGAGGATTTTAGTTGCAGCTGTGGTTTTAGCCCTAAACAGCCCCCAACGTCAAAGTTGCCGATGTCCCAGGTTCCCCCCCCTTCCCGCCGGTGAGAGTAAAATGAGTGCTGCTGCACTAGAAAGGAATAGGAAGCTGACCTGTAGGTGCATCTGCCGATGTTCTAACTGTGGGTCCCGTGAATTGAAATTGGAAGAATACACATACTTCCTGAAAATTAGTTTTGGCTTAAGGCGTGGGGGTTTCAGTTGCAACTGCGTTGTCTAGACCTAGAGGTCAGCTTCCTATTCGCTTCAAGTGCGGCAGCACTCGTTTTACTCTCACCGGGGGTGGGGTGGGGGGGTGCGAACCAGGGAAGTGTTGGGCCTGGAACTCGGCAAGTTTCAGGTTGGGATCTAAAACCATGCCATGGGCGGACTGCTCTTGTTTTTGATGTTTTTGTAGCCGTGAAACTTGTGTGTTTGTGTAAGTGTAGGGTTGAGGCTAGAGGGTAACGCTATTGGAGACTGCTCTTGTTGAAATAGGCTTGAAACTTATGGGTTTGTTCAAGGTTGAGGCTAGAGACTTACAACATCTGGAGGGGGATTGTTTAGGGTTCAACCCGGGCAACCGTGCATCTGCCGATGTTCTAACTGTGTGCCCCGTTAATTTAAACAAGAAGAAAACACATGCCTTTTGTAGAATTGTGTTTGGCTTGAGACGTGGGGATTTTAGTTGCAGCTGTGGTTTTAGCCCTAAACAGCCCCCAAAGTCAAAGTTGCCGATGTCCCAGGTCGCCCCACCTTCCCGCCGCTGAGAGTAAAATGAGTGCTGCTGCACTAGAAAGGAATAGGAAGCTGACCTGTGGGTTTAGACAACACAGCGCGACTGAAACCCCAACGCCTTACGCCAAAGGTTTTTTCCCGAAAGTATGTGTTTTCCTCCTCTTTCAATTGGCGGGACCCACAGATAGAACATCGGCAGATGCACGCTTGTCCGGCTTTAAACGCAATCTTAGCGGGGGAGTGCGGCCTGGAAATCGGGAACTTTCAAGGGTTGAGGGCTGAAACATATGGTGGGGGGGGGGGTTGTTTCGGGTTCAAACCGGACAACCGTGATTCTAACTGTGGGCCCCGTTACTGGAAGCAGGAAGAAAATACACGCTTGTTTAGCTTAAGGCGCAGGGATTTTAGTTGCAGCTGTGTTGTCTAGCCCTAGAGGTCAGCTTGCTCTTCCTTCCTAGCGCGGCAGCACTCATTTTACCCTCACCGGAGGGAAGGGGAAAACTGGGAAGTGGCCTGGACATCGGCAACTTTGAGGTTGGGGGCTGTTTAGGGGCAAAACCACGGCTGCAACTAGAATCCCCGCGCCTCAAGCTAAACACAATTCTTCAAAAGGCATGTGGTGTCTTCTTGCTTCCATTAGCGGGGCCCACAGTTAGAATATCGGCAGATGCACGCTTGTCCGCTTGAACCCCAAACAGCCCCCCCTCCGTGTGTTCTAGCCTTCAACTCTCAACGCTGAACAAACCCGAAGTCAGCTTCCTATTCCTTTCTAGTGCGTCAGCACTTTTTTTGAATCTCACCAAGAAGCGGGGGGGAACTGGGAAGCGTCCGGATTGGAATTCGGCAGCTTTCAATAGTAAAAGGATTGAAACACATGGAGGGGGGTTTGTTTAGGGTGCAATCGTGCATCTGCCGACGTTCTATCTGTGGGCCCAGTGAATTGAAACTGGAAAAAAACATGCTGCTTGAAGAATGGTTTCTAGCTTACCGCGAGGGGGGGGGGGGGCGTGAGAATAGAATGAGTGCTGCCGCACGAGAGAGGAACAGGAAGCCAACCTTTAGCCTCCCCATGAATGCTGCCGCTCTAGAAAGGAATAGAAAGCTGACCTCTAAACAACACAGATGCAACTGAAACCCCCGCGCCTTAAGGTAAAAGTCATTCTTCAATAAACATGTGTTCTTCCCTGTTTTAGGGAATGAGGCCCAGAGTTGTAGGCTTGAAGCTTCGGAGGGAGGAGGGCTAAGGACCGCAGGAAGACTTCTCGTTTTGGGCAAGGCTGTAGCTTCCAGCTATTGAATTGCATGTAATATGGTTAAACTTTGCTGCCCGCCAATGCCCATACATCCCCCCCAATGTTCTAACTCTCAATGCCGCAACTGGCCAGGGATGCAAACATGGGGCTCGCGCGATGTTCTAAGTCAAAATACGGCGAGACTTTTGCATTTTTTGACCTGGATGTTCTAACTGCTACTCGTTTTTTTGTTTAACTACCCACAGGTGTGACGTTCTAAGGCACGTTTGGTGAATTGTCGATGTTCTAACTTGAAGTCCGTCACTATACTGAACCCAGACGACCCGGCGAGGTGTTCAGCCATGTCACGGAGGAAAAGTTCTGTGCAGAGCTTGGGGGTGCTGGTTGAATCATGTTACAGGGAAGTCTGGTACGACGGGTTTGGTCCGGGATATGCGCTAAACACGAGATCCACGCAACGCGCCGCCATCCAGTGTGAGGTCACCCCCATGCAAGCGGTTTTGTGAATGCCCTAATGTTGAGCCTGGATTAATAACCCCCTTTTTTTTCACATGGGTGTGTCCCTGGTTCTGGTCGAGATTTATCACTTTTGGAGGGACACCGCTCCCCCCATATGGTTAAATAGGGGTTTATGAATCCGGGGTCAGCTTTTGGCTGTTGCCTTGCCGAGGGTTTTGGTCTTGTTTCTGAGAAACAAGTCATGCCTGGGAATTCGAGGCGCTCGCCTCCCCGAACTGGGGTGGAAGCAGGCGAAGGCTCGCAATGGCGGGAGGGGAAGCATCAGGTAACCCCGCTAGCTTGGTCTGGATTGCAGAGTTGAACCCCGTAGTCTGGTGGGTAGACGGCAAACCACCCCCAAAAAGACCGAGCAGCTCCAGCTTTGGGTGGTCAATCTTGGGTCAGGCTTTGAGAGGTACAATGGCAGGAAAGCCCGAGGAACAAAATGCCAGTTTTGCAAGAAGTTGCAGGGAGAGGCCGGTGCCACCCGTGATCACGCGCAAGCCTGCTTGCTGTAAGAGTTACCAGTGAATTGGGTAGTGAAAAGTGGGGTTATGATAGTGGTGTTAATGCTGCTCCTGCTGCTGCTGTCTGCTGCTGCTGCTAGTCGTGGTAGTAGGAGACAAAAGAAGACAAACGGTGATAACAACAAGAAGCATCAAGAGTAGGCGAAGCAGCAGCAACAGCAACAGCAGTAGTAGTAGTAGTAGTAGTAGTAGTAGTAGTAGTAGTAGTAGTAGTAGTAGTAGTAGTAGTAGTAGTAGTAGTTAGTAGTAGTAGTAGTAGTAGTAGTAGTAGTAGTAGTAGTAGTAGTAGTAGTAGTAGTAGTAGTAGTAGTAGTAGTACTGTAGTAGTAGTAGTAGTAGTAGTAGTAGTAGTAGTAGTAGTAGTAGTAGTAGTAGTAGTAGTAGTAGTAGTAGTAGTAGTAGTAGCCGAGCAGTAGCTGTAGCAGTAGTGGCAGCAGCGCGGCACAGGAACCAGCCATACTAAGAGAAGTAGTCAGAACAAGAGAGTGTGAGTTCGAGTAGTACACATAGAGCAGGAGTCAGAATGAGACAGTAAGAGCATGAGAGTATGAGAGTATGGGAAGAGTGTACGTGAGTCAGAGGGTAAGAGAGCAAGAGAGTGCGACGAAAAGAAACAAGAGTAAAAACAAAATAGCAAGATTCAGCAAGTAGGAGTGAGAGCAGGGGTGATGTTTTAGTTGGACTGGTTGCTGATCCTGAGGCCACTACTGCTGTTATGCAATACCACCACCCTTTACTGCCGCTAGCGGCTGCCGCTGCCGCGCCGCTTGCGCTGCCGCTGCCGCTGCCGCTGCCGCTGCCGCTGCCGCTGCCGCTGCCGCTGCCGCCGCCGCCGCCGCCGCCGCCGCCGCTGCTGCTGCTGCTGCTGCTGCTGCTGCTGCTGCTGCTGCTATTTTTTAGTTGTCGTCGTCTCCGCTGCGCCGTTGTTGTCATTGCAGTTGTCGTTGTTGTCGGTGTTGCATTTGTCGTGGACTTGGCACCATTCTCCAAATACTGCTGGCTTTCGAAAGGCATTCCAGCAGACACGCCACCCCAAATCCAGGCAGCTTTCAGGCCGCAGGGAATGCTGGTCCTTCCCAATGACTCATGACGGTGGAGGGACCACCCTCCTTAGGGACTTCACGCACACAGGCCCTTTTCAACATTTCAGTGTCTCGGCACATCTGAGCTGCCCTGAAAGCTTCCCTCTCTTTCTGCGGTTCGGCTTCCGTTGCATTTCCCCGGTTTCGCTTTCGCTCGGGACATCGGATTGGAAATTCTCGCAGGCGGGCGAGGAGAAGCATTTGTTCAGCGCCTTAGACTTTGATGGCGATGGCCTGGTGAAGCCTCACTGCCTCCGCAGGGCGCTAAGGACAGTCGGTGCAGTCGGTGCGTTGGGTCCGGTCGGGTCGGATCGCTGGGTCGAGGCTGGGCGGTCGGTTAGCTCGTCCGAAGGGGGTCTCTTTGTTGGGTGGCGGGTCTGTCAGTGGAGGGCATGCATTGCTGGGTGGGCCAGTCGGCTGGAGGATGCCTGGGCGTTTAGCTCGAACTTCGGCCATTTCTCGTTCCGCGAATGAACGGCATGAGTTGGGGGAACTTGGACACCTGTGTCCTCCCATTTGTCCTTGCTACAACTTCCATCGGCACACGCACACCAAGGCTGGCTTGGCATCGAGCTGAAGCGCCTACACAAGAAGCGTGCCGCCAAAGAGAGTGCCAACAAGGCCTTTGCCATGTACCCTTGGTGGCTCCCAGCCATCCCCTTAGCTTTTTTGCCTTTTAGTGTTTAGTGGTAGTTTCCATTTAACCCACTAAAAGTTAAACTTTTAGCGGGAGTGAGGGCAGCCCAGGTGCCGTGAACGACTTGAATAGGTGTCATTTGCGGAACTTGCGTTTACATGCTGCCCTGCCACCAATTAACGTGAGAACCTGACGATAGTTCTTTTGGGGGTCCTGGAGCACCATTCTCCTGCTAAAGGGACCCCCCGAAACGTCAGGTTCCATGGAAATTGGTGGGAGGGTATATGGCCATGGGTCAAAACCAATGGGATCCCATTTTGGGGTGGGTGAATTCACCACCCATTTTAGAACCTATTTTAGTGGTTGGATTGGGATGTTCACTGGGGCTAACCGGGGTTTTGACCCACGGCCATATCTCGCGTGATATCTGGTGGACGCAGAGGGCAACGTTGCACTTCTCGCCAGAAGAAGGCGACGCCCAGCATTTCGCACGAGCGGTTGGAGCAACAGCTGCTGGGTTGCACGCGGAGGAACAAGGGTAGCGCGTCGCTTCTGTGCAGGGCACCCTCCCCTCCCATTTTGGTTTCCCAGGGACACCACCAAAAAACCAGTGGTATGTTTTGGAGGAGGGGCTTGATGGTCGTGGAAGCCTTGCGAAGCCAACGGAAGAAGTTTTTTCCCCCCAGCTGCAGAGTGTTGCCGTTTGTTTTGTGGGCGATGTGCGCGCGTTGAGGTTTTTCGAGTTCAAGGAAGACCTTCGGAGAAGGCGCGCAAAGCGGTTTCGTCTTGGCATGTTCATGTTGTAATTGGGGAGGGGGGGTAGCTGGAGCGGAATCCCCACAAAACAGAAAGCCCCCCCGTTCTCAACCGAGGGCGAAGAAAACCAGCCGTCGACGGTACTGACCCTTGCGGGACTTCGAACTGAGGTACGGCGGCGGAAACTTGGTCCGCGCCTGGCGCGCCGCATTGTCCGACACCATGATCCTGCCCAAGACTCGCTTCCTCAAGGTGCGCAGTGCGCGCGGCTTTGGCGAGGGGCTCAATCATAGGTGTCCTTTTTGGTTGTTTTTTAGCGGTCGAAAAATAGATGGCGATTCCTGGTGTTAAAACCTGGTGGTTTTTGCTCATCCACCAGGGAAGCCCATGCTATTTCCAGCCAAAAAGAACACCCTTTGGAGATGCCCAGGTTTAGGTGTCCCTTTTTTGATTTGGGAAAACAGATGGCCCTGGCCTGGTTGAGACATCTTCCGGGCTCGATTTCCGTTTTTTTGCATCAGCCGCATGCGCGCGGCGGCTGTTTTTTGTAGGCGTGTGTACAGCTGGGCTACGCCAAGAAGGCCAAGGAGACCTAGAGTCGCAGCCTTTGCGTTTTTTTTTTTTTTTGGGGGGGGCAAGCAACCATGCACTTGTTTGTTTCTCTTTCGATGAAGAGGGCAGGGTTGGTGTCGACTGAGCCATCTTTTTCGTGTTCTGAACCAGACCTGGGAATTTTCCCCCCCTTTGGGTTGGAACACACCGAGAGAGCCCGGCGACGTGCACCGCGTGCCATGCGACGTGCAACGCGCCAGGATCTCTGGAAGATGTTGGACCGGGACGGCAGCGGCTTCGCCTCCATCGACGAGCTGGACCCACGGAGCGCCCAGGCGCTCGCCTACTTCAAGAAGACCTTGGACCAGAACCTCGCTCCGCGTTTTTTCTTCTGTTTTTTTTGGGTGCTTAATAGGGAATGACCGAGTCTTTATATAGCTGAGATCACCGTTTGAGACAAAGAACATGTGGGAAGCGCATGGTGGGAAACGCAGGATCGATTTGGTCAGATCGGCTTGGGAGTGAAACTTTTTAGTAGAAACAACCTCCCAAAAAAAAGAGAGGTTCACCCTCCCAAAAAAACAAGAAAAACACACAAACAGATGTCTACCGCATTTTTTAGTCCGTTAAGCACCGAACGAAGAAAGAAGGGGCACCCTCCAAGAAGGGACACCAAACAACTCTTGAAAAGCAGATTTATATTTTTTTTACCGCATTTTCTCCACCTTTTTTGAGTGTCTTTCTTTAGCAACGGGTTTCACCAAAAAGAGGGGCCTTTTCGCCATCTCCAAAGAGGGATTCCTCTGGCGCGCGCCGCGCTCCGCCAGGAACCACTTTGCCGGGATCTCCGCGGCCTTCACGGCGCTGGACGTGGACGGGGCGCGGAAGATCCGGCGGGCGCAGTTCCGCGCGTCGCTGCGGCGGCTGCAGTTCCAGTGCCCGGAGCTGTCCAACGAGCTGTTTGACAGCCTGGACTTGAACGGGACGCTTCGGCTCGGCGGTTTTTTCTCGGGGCAAGTCTCTCTTTTTTTTGTTTTGTTTTTGTTTCTTTTCCACGGGGATCCTTGCAATGGCCAAGTGGCCATGGGTCACTGTTTGAACATCCCAATCCAACCACTAAAATAGGCTAAAATGGGTGGTGCGCCTACCCCAAAATGGTACCATGGGTTTTGACCCACTGCCAAGTGTTCTTGGCAAGTTTTTTTTCCTCCATTCCTTCTCTGTTCTTGGCAATTTGGAGTTAGGTCTTGTTTTGTTTGTTGGTCCCGTTGATTTCTGAGGGGGCTGCCTAAAACACTGAGTTTTTTTCGTCTCTTTATTTGGCTGCCATGGGTTGTAGAGGAACCACGTGATTGAAGAAGACGACCTTCAGTTCCTGGAGAAGTGGCACCCCCTGCCCTACCTCACCGTTGAGCCCAACAAGAGGGCCCGAGACGAGTTCAAGAAAATGCTCCTCCAGAAGTATTCCCGGCCCATGAAAGCCTGGCCGACGCCTCGGAAGAAACCGGCGAAAACGGCGGGCGAAGCGCGTCTCAGCCCGCTCCAAGAGAAAACTGGCTGAATCTGAAGCGTAACAATATTGCAGCGCTGAACATCAAGTGCTGTCTGGCAAACTCACCCTCCATTTGCTACAAAGATCAGGATCGGGGGAGGGGGGAGTTCGAGCCCTGGAGATCTCCGGTAGTGCCATGGCCATGGCTCAAAACCAATGGGATCCCATTTTGGTGGGTAAATTCACCACCCATTTTAGAACCTATTCTAGTGGTTGGATTGGGATGTTCACTGGGGGCTAGCCGGGGTTTTGACCCACAGCCCCATCTTCCCTTTGGAGCAGAGGAACATGGAAGTGGGCCCCGGGCATTTTCCCCGCCCCAAATCCTCCGTGGAACAAGTTCCGCTCGCGCTTTCGCGAGGCGGCATGTGCTGGACCGAGAGGGAAGCAACCGCGCGGATCCCCATCGCGGTTCCGTCGGTTCCATGTGACCGGGATGGCTCCTCTTTTGTGTTCTCGCTTTTTGTTGAGGCTGCAACTGGCACACCTTTCTCTACGCCTCCAAGATGATTGGCTTCCAGGGCGCGCCTGCTTGGTTCAGCTGTGCTTATATTTCTCCCGTCCGTCCTTTCAGGTGATGCGGCCGGCGCTTGGCGAGCGCTTGACGACGACCTCTCCGGGCACCTCTGCGGATCGCTCCGCCACGTGTTTCGCTAGCTTTCGCTTGCATGGGCATGGCTCAAAAATAGGGGTGCAAAATTAATAGGGGTCGAACATGGAACCCTGGTAAATGGAAACGATGGACAGGTGGACTGAAACCTGCGTTGTGCCCCATCTGTTTTATGGTGAGCCACACCCACCTGCCTTAACCAAAGCCCCCGGTGGTTTTTAAGACGGTTTGAGACGGTGGGAGGCCGGCCAGAAGCGGTGCACAGCTAAGTCCCTGGGGGTTGGTGGAGGCGGTTGGCGGGTTCACAGCCTTGTTTTGATGACCCATCGACAACTAGCTCCCCCGGCTAGGTGCCCTTTCTCACCATTTCTTTTTTTGGGGAGGGTTCCTCTACTAAAATAGACTACGGAACAAAGTTGGTACCCTGATTCTAGCCTCTCTACTGAAGGGCCCATCAACAAGACCCTAGATCCTTTTCTTAAGTGGTGGTATTGGTTTTGGCCGGGTAGAAGATCTTGGATGCGTGAGGTACATCACTTTGAAGGAGCTAGACTTTGATGCCCACATGACGCTGGTGGAGTTCAGGAGGGACTCGCCGGCCGGGGGAAGTTTCAGGTACTGTAGAGGTGTTTCCTCCAAAAGTGGTCTGAATCCAACCGGACACCCCCCCGATCAAAATCAACCAGGCGTCTATTATTGGGGGGTTAACGTTATGGAAGTAGGAGGTGAGCTTGACATTCAAATACCGCTAGACTGGGTATGAAATGAAGCCGGTGGTGTTGTGACGGGGTATGCCTTCTTAAGAACGTGTAGTGCTGGTGGATGCTGGTGGATGCTGATATATGGTTTGCAAACCAAGCCAAACCCCCACCCATGCCCAGTGCATTCCGCTTTTTCTCAGGCTTCCCCTTTCTTCCCCACCCCCCCCCTCCCCCCCCAAAAAAAAAGAGAAAGAAAAAGGCATGCCCCTTTTTTCTGAATGGAAATCCGCTCATCTGAGAAACCCGCGGCTCCAAAACACACGTCCGGTTGCCGGGAACAGGACCTGGGCCTCCGATGAGTTCGGCTCCTGCCGGGGCGCCTTCGACATCTTCGACGGGGACGGGTCCAACAGCCTGACCTTCCAGGCGAAGAACGCCGCAGGTGGTCGCAGGTTTGGCGCAGGTTGCAGCAGGTTTGGCGCAGGTTTGGTGCATTTTGGAAGGGAGTAAAGTGGAAACAGCCCCTATGAAATTGAGAGGGGTGGGAGGAGTGACTCTTTCTGGGATTCATTACTTTTGGAGGGAATGTCCTTTTACTAGAAAGCACGTTTTTTTTTTTGGGGGGGGGGGGTCAACATCAGGCACAGTTTGTGGATGGTCGACGGCCTGACATTTTTTCGCGGCCCCTTGGACGGATGGGGCCGGATGGGGTTCGCATAGGTGCCCTTTTCGGCTGTTTTGCTGGAAAAGTAGATGGGTTTCGATTCCTGGTATTTACCTGGTGGTTTTTGCTCCACGAGGGACGCCCATCGATTTCCAACCCAAAAGGACCTCTATAGGGGTTCGTCCGTCCGACCTCTCCAGGAGTTCCGGGCTGCGTGCAAGATCTACGGCTTCGAAGCACCTCGGAAGGAAGTTTTTTTTTTGTTGCTTCAGTCGGCCGATTGGTTAAGGACGAAGGCTTGGGTCCAAGTGGGGGGTGTGCATTTCTGGGTTTAGTGGGGAACATCATCACTTTTGGAGGGAAACACCCCCTATTCACAAACTGGGTTTAATAAATATGGGCTCAACATTAGGCCGATTGAAGGTGGCAAGGCTTTTCTTTTTGGGGGGGGGTTTCGGTCACAAAATGAATCAGCGGTCGTTTTGAATCTAAGTGGTAGGTATGAACACGTGGCATGGGGTGTTCGTGGCTACTGAAGAGCAGCTTGCGGGTGATCTTTGAGAGTGCTTTGGCCCTGAATTGTGAGCAGTTCCCTAGCTAGGCATTCCACGTTCTGAATCCACTACCTCCGAACTATTTCCAAGAGAAGCAGGGATTTTCTCGTTGTTGGACGTGTTTTCCGCCAGGGCCAGACGAAGCAGCTCTTTACGGCGATGGATGCTCCTTGCTCCTGGAGGGCTCCGGGGGGGGGGGGTGGCGGTTCCGATAAACTGGCACCAGCTGGTGCCAAGTAGCTCCCAAGCGACATCAATCATGAATCGTAAGCCAGGGCGACTGCGTTGAGCGGCTTTCCTTCTTTGTGTCCACAGTTGCTTGGATCCCACGGAAGCTGAGCGGCTCTCCTTAGGTTTCGGCAGAGGGCACGCTCTCAGTGAAGGAGGTTGGG